GATCCGCTCGTGTAGTCTTGGACGGAACCGAGTTGGCGCCAAGTGCGGAGCCTCTGTCGCGCCGCGATCGAAGCCGCAATTAGCTCGAAACGAGCGTGCAGACCTGCGCACCACGCGTCCCACGTGCGATACTGGGGCACCTCCACGAAATACGACGGCGCCCAGGGTCCGGTTTGTCCTTCCCGTGTCGGTAGAGTCGCGTAGTCTAACGGCTTCGTGACGATGACGCGCCACCAATCCATGGCAGGTCCTCGCAGCAACGACACGGCGTAGCGGATTTTCGCCGTATCCTCCGAGACGTAGTTGGCGTCGAAAAACACATTCATCGTGAACAACCACGCCTGACCGGCGTGATGTATGCATGAGAGCGAGCGCATCGACCGCTACATCGGGGTCCTGAAGCAGGACATCGCTCAGGAAATCCAGCTTCGCGGCGTCACCGACTTTCAAGAAATTCTCGCTATGACAGAGAAACTTGATTTCTTCCGCCGACCGAGACCGGGGTCCTACGGAAGCAGCCATTGGGGACATCGGCCTCGTGGGACGAACGAGGGCGCCACGATACGTGCCGTCGCCGCAAATGCCGCTGCCGCACCGTTCAAAGGGCGCTGCTTTGCGTGCAATCGGCCGGGACATCGCAAGAACGAATGCCTGGAAAACGCTAAGGGAAAGGGGGAAGCTGAGCAGCAGAAACAGACCAAGCAGCAGGGAAACGCTGGGAGTCAGTAGCAGACGGGCCCTCTACTGACAGGTCACGCCGCTCGCCCGACCCAACCGACCCTCACCGAGTGATTGTGCCGGTTCACGCAATCGACCACACCCGTCCGAATAAGGAGGGGACTACGGTAGACAGCCCCATACTGCTTAGTGGGAAAATTGGGACGGACTTAGTAAAAATCTTCGTAGACGGGGGAGCCAGCCACAGCCTCATCAACACTGCCACAGCACGAAAACTGCGACTGCCACTGGACAGATGTTTACCTGAGATCGACGCAAGACTGGTAGACGGCACGCCGCTGGCGATACGGGAACGCGTAGACCGGGTTCGGATTCGATGTGGGGGTAACTTCACGTTTAGCCAGGAAATGCTCGCAACGACCCTCGACGGAACCGATATCTTACTCGGGTGTGATTGGCTGCGACGATACAATCCGCGAATCGACTGGACGACGAGTGACAGCACCGTGCGAGTGAACGGTAACAACATCGCCTTACCTCGCTGGGGCTCGCCTGAGTCTTCGTCGGTGCGTGTCAACGCGATCATGATGAAACGCGCCGTAGCGGCAGGAGCTGACGTGTACGCGGTCGACATTCAGGAAGCCGAGGCAGCAGACAAAGGAGGGGATTTACAGAAACTGCTGGCCGACGTACCGAGTGATCTGGCAGCACTGTTGAAGCAGTACAGCAACATTTTCCCGGACGATTTACCGACGGGACTGCCACCTCAGCGACCGCACGACCACAGGATAGAGTTAGAACCAGGGGCACAGCCAACAGTACAGCGACAGTTCCGACTGACCCAGCCCAAACTGGACGAACTGAGGAAGCAGCTCGATTACCTGCTCGAGAAGGAATTCATTCGCCCTAGTTCGTCGCCTTTCGCAGCACCGATACTGTTCACACCGAAAAAAGACGGGGGATTTCGCATGTGCATAGATTACAGAGCACTGAACAGGGTTACCATCAAATTCCGTTACCCCATCCGCGAGCCGACGAACTGATCGACCAACTGCGCACAGCCCGGGTTTTTTCGAAAATCGACCTCCGAGGGGGTTACCACCAGATTCGCGTCAATCCGTCCGACTGCCCTAAGACCGCATTTCGCACACGCTACGGATCCTTCGAATACACCGTCATGCCCTTCGGACTGACCAACGCCCCCGCCACTTTTCAAATGACCATGAACGAAGCTTTCCGCCCGCTCTTAGATAAGTGCGTCATAGTATACCTGGACGATATACTGATTTACAGCCCTGACAGAGCACAGCACTCACAGGACATCGAAGCAGTTTTTAAAATACTGAGTGAGAACCGCCTACTGACAAAAGCGTCTAAGTGTGAGTTTTTACAGGACCGCTTGGAGTTTTTGGGGCACGTTATTTCAGGTGCAGGAGTGGAAATAGACCCGAAGAAAATTGCGACGATTCAAGCATGGCACGCGCCGACCAACTTGACCGAGTTGCAGAGTTTTTTGGGGTTCGTCAACTACGTGCGCCGGTTTGTCCCCGACATGGCGAAGCTGACTGCCCCGCTGACAGACCTGCTAAGGAAGGGGGTTGAGTACACGTGGGGGGAGAAAGAGCAAGCTGCCTTCTCGGCCCTCAAAAACATTTTGTGCTCACCGCCCGTGCTTCGCATCGCAGATCCACACCATCCGTTCGAGCTCGTCACTGACGCAAGTGACATCGCTGTGGGAGCAGTACTGTTGCAGGATTTCGGGAACGGCCTCCAGCCAATCGCGCACGAGTCCCGCAAGCTGCACCTGCTCGAACGCAACTACCCGATACACGACCGCGAAATGTTGGCGATCGTGCACGCATTCAAGGTTTGGCGGTGTTACCTGACTGGCGCCGACGTGACAGTATGGACAGACCACCGATCACTACAGTACCTACGCGCCCAACCAAATCTCAATCCGCGACAGTTTCGCTGGTTGGACTACCTCGAGTCCAACTTCCACTACACGGTTACATACAAGAAAGGCGCATCCAACATCGCCGACACACTCACCCGCCCTACCGCCCAACTCCATGCCATCCTACTCGCCCAAACCAACCCGCTTTTAACAGGCCTATTCACCCACGGATACCGCACCGACCCATTTTTCACGACCGGAAATTCACAGCAACTGGCAGAAGCTAAAGGAGTTTATTACGTAAAAGCGGGCACCAACCGCATCTGGGTACCCGCGTACTCACTACTGAGGGAGCTGCTACTGCAGAAGGAACACGGCGGAATTACCTCGTGACATTTTGGGGTAGAAAAAACGCGACAGCAACTGCAGCGGTATTACTACTGGCCGGAGCTGTTGACCGACGTGCAGCAATACGTGGGCTCGTGCCCCACGTGTCAGGTGATGAAGAGCTCGAGGAAGAGGAAGGCGGGTCAATTGCAGCCGATACCACAGCCCGAGCGCGCCTGGGAGCAGGTTACCATGGACTTCGTCACAGGGTTACCTTCAAACCCTGGGGGTAACGACGCGGTGATGGTCGTCGTTGACAGGTTGACGAAGATGGCACACTTCGCTGCGTGCAAAAAGTCGATCTCAGCCGAGGAGACCGCTGGCCTGTTCATCGCAGCCGTTGTTCGCCTACACGGGATACAAGCAGCGACTATCAGCGACAGGGACACGAAGTTCACCAGCAACTTCTGGAAGAACCTCTTGGAGCAGTTCGGGACCAGGCTACAGTTCAGTTCGTCGTACCACCCCGAGACCGATGGTCAAACGGAGCGGACGAATCAGACGATGGAGCAGTTGATTCGTGCCACGTGCGACGACCCAACCACTTGGGAGCAGCAGCTGCCGCTGATCGAGTTCGCGTACAACAACGCCACGTCAGCGACGACGCAGCAGTCCCCCTTCTATCTGAACTACGGGCAAAATCCTACAGTGCCCATGACGCCGAGTCCGGACAACCCAACACCACGGGCACAGCAATTCGCCGAAATTCTGCAAGCTGCCCGCACCAGAGCCGCAGAAGCAATTAAAAAGGCAAACATCATCGCTAAGCGCAATGCTAACCGCCACCGCCGCCCAGTCACATACCAGTCAGGAGATTACGTACTGCTCGACACGCAAAATCTGCGACTGCCCGACGTACCGAAACTTCGACCGCGCTACTGTGGCCCATTCCAAATCAGCCACATGATCACGCCAGTAACCGCGCACCTACTCTTACCGACCGACTGGTACATCTGCCCATCGTTCCACGTCAGCCTACTTCGCCCATACATCCCAACCACCAGCCAACTGCTTCGTCACCGCCCGCATTCCATGACTCGCCCTGCATCGGAGCCGATCATCGAGCCCGAAAAAATCCTGAGCCATCGGATTCGCCACCCCACGGGAATCAGGAGAATTGAATTCCTCGTTCGCTGGAAGGACCGCACGCCAACTGAAAATAGCTGGGTGCCCCTGGCCAACATTGAAAACCACCCTGCCCTGCAAGTGTACCTGAGGAGCCGGGGATTCCGCGATATACACGCACTCGCGTAGCGGAGGGGGCTTCTTGAGGGGGGGGGTAGTGTAAGGAATTTTCTCGGCATTCCTTACGGAGCCCGACTACATCGCGTACAGCAACAGCCGTTGTTCGCCCGTTACTGCTAACGGGACTTCGCCAACTTCGCGCGCACTGTTTTGCCAAACCTCGCACTGCTGGCCCGGCCGTGTCGGCCTACGCTTCGGGACTAGCCCGAGCCTCGCTGCGAGCGTAGCACTAGCTAGCTCGCACGCACCACGTTACCGTTTGAATGTTTCGCATATAAATGTTTGCTCATGCCTTCGCTCACAGCTTTGTACTCGTTTGACACCTTAGTGCAATTCTCGCTACTTCGATTCATTGCACCCGTAACACTTCCCTGTTACCGTATTCGTTCTTCAGATGCAATCCTTCAGCAGAGAACTCAAAACACAAATATTGTACTGAAATTACACAAGGCACAAATACGGTAGACTCCAACCACAGATAATAAGCTCACAATAACAACCAAGGGTAGGAAGACTGGCAAGTCAACTGGTGACACATGATGCCTTGCCAGCATTCCTGCCCCTCATGCTTTGACCTACTTTAGCTACGAGCAGGAAACAGAGCAAAACTAGAGCAAGCCTATCCAGGCACACACATCTTAGACGCCCCCAGGGCTCCTGCCCATCACAACCACGCCTACAGCGTGCAACAGGCTGGGTTTCAATGCTCAAAGGCGGCAGTAGCAGCACCAGCAATGCCTGTCAACCCACTTTCCTGATCCAGCAGCAGCAGCAGCAGCAGGGCAGTGGCGCATTAAACAGCAGCGGCGGGCATCTTGGCGCCCATGAGCTGCCCGCCCCACGTCACACCTGCTGCGCTGCTGCCCGCCAGCACAGCATACCCGCTCACTGCAGGCGCCTGCTGCGCTCCACCCTGCTGCTGTCCCCCCTGCTTCTGACCCCCGGGCCTAGCAGCGCGGCCGAATGCGCGCATCAGCAGCTCCCGCCCCATGCGCCTCCCACCCTGCCCGTTCCGCGCGCCTCCAGCGCTGCTACCCCCGCCGTTGCGCCCGCCGCCGCTGGTGGGCGGAGGCGAGGCGGTGGGGAGCACGGCGAGCAGCGCGTCGAGGGTGGCGGCGTCCGCGTTCTCGAGGAACGCGTCGAGGCGCGCCTCCGCGTGCAGCAGCCACCACCCTGCGCGCTGCTGCCAGTCCGTCGCGGCGAGTGGCAGCGCGAGCACGTCCGTCGCGGCGGCGTCGCACACGGCGCCCCTCACGATCGCCAGCGAGTCGGGCGGACCGCCCGCCGCGTCCACCAGCATCGCCTCGACGAGCAGATTGTAATTTCCGGTCGCGTTCCTGGAGCAGAGGAAGGGAAGGAGAAGGGAGGGAGGAAGAGGGGAAAGCAGCGCGATGAGATCCCGCAAAGAGGAAGAAACACTGAATGGATTAGGGTTTTCGCGCAGAGAGGAAGGCAGCGGAACCTACTTGAAGACGGTGAGGTGGAAGCTGCCGTTAAGGGTCTTCTGATCCACGGTGCAGTTGGCGAGCTGCGCGCCAACATCGGCCGTCAGATTCCCGACGGCCGTCAGGCTCAGCGGAGGACCGCGCGGTCCGCCAGGCCCGCCGGGACCGACACGACCGCCAGGACCGCCGGGACCGCCGGGTCCGCCAGAACCGGCGCCAGGGCTTCCGCGCTGACCGCCGGGAGGACCTCCGCCAGGCGGACCACGCTGCGCCAAGGCGGACGTCGACACGAGGAGGAGCACGCACGCGAGGACGAGCGCTCTGACTGCCGCCATGACTGGATCTGTATCGAGCTTCGATTTACGAAGTGGGGAAAGTTATCTTGCACTGACTTGGAAGCTTGAGTGAAGAAAGTGGAGCGTGAAGTGGAAGCTGTTGGTGAGTGAAATGGTAGGAGAGTTAATGGCTACTTATAGGGTAGTCGAAACCAGGAGTACACCTAACCCGCGCTAATTTCAAAAACTTCTCACCGAGCCGCGATTTTGCCACTTGCGCAAGGGATATTTGTGTAGTGAGTCAGCACCTAGCTGTCTGTGCCGACGGGGCGGATTTGCCTCCCGCGTGTGTCGAGCGAGAAAGTTACGAAGCAGAAACTGTATGGTTTTGAAGTGTTTCTCTGTGTTTGAGAGTGGTTCGGCAAGAATTTGAAGTATGGGATGAAGTGCCAGCATGTCATCCCACAGCGTCGTAATGTTCTGCTGACCATTCACCATGCCACGTGTGCTGTAACCCCACCAGGCGACGCCAAACCCTTTGAAATTGGGGGGATTGAAATTGGTGCGGGCTAGGTGTAGACCGAGTCAAAGCCGCTAAGGTCTGAGGCTGAGGCTCGTGTGTGAAATGAAAATCGCCAAGCTATGTGTGAGGTTTGGAAATATCAGACCAACTGTGGAGGTTCGAGCTGTACAAAATCACCAACCGAGAGTTGAAAATGTGCGACAGGATTCAAACTCGTGAGTCAGCGCAAATGGAAGGAAAATCGCACATGAAAAAAACGCCAGTCAGTGCGAAAGGGCAGCTGGAACAACCTACCTGCACATTGGCAGGTGCAGTATGGGATGCATCACTTATAGTAAAAAAAAAATATGCTACATATTGTCGGTTTTTAGGTGAAAGCATCATTGTGCACATCCTTGTGCAGTTGAACACATGCAATGCTTAAAACCACAACTTTGAATACTACATTCTGTACCTGCCTACCCGCGTGTTCCTCACGTTTAATTCACGTACCACATGTTTTCGCCGATTGACCGCTTGTGACCTCCACTGCATATCAGTATTATTGATAAGTTGATGAGAGGAACAGCAGCAGGAATGTGACCAATAACCTTTTATCTTAATCATTTGCCACTCTGTTGGAGCGAAGTTGATGAATGGAAGGTGGGGAGGCAGCAATGACTACGCGCACACACAGTTGAAGGGGTAGGGTGAAGAGGGGGGGAAGGGACGGGGGTGGCACAGGGATCATATGGTTTCAACCTTCTTGCTGTGGATGCCGTGGTGGGAGCTCACGCTCCTACTATCCTATGGTAGTGGAATGGGAGCATAGTGGGGGGCATGGGGAAAATGCAGCAAGGAAGGGGAAAGTGAATCAGCAAAGGAGGGGAGTGGCGAGGGTTAGGGCCGATGGTGAAGGGACACGTAGAAGCATGTATCGCATAGTAGACTAGTGGCTGAATGATTGCCATATCAGTCCACTCAGTCACCCGCACAGCAGTGGCTCTGTGTATGCCTTCGGAATCGACTCTGGGTTCTTAAATACCATGACCCTGCCCATGCCCCCATTCCAATGCCCATGTCCCATCCCATGCCCATTTCCATGCGCATTTCCATGCCCATTCCAATGCCCATGTCCCATCCCATGCCCATTTCCATGCGCATTTCCATGCCCATTCCAATGCCCATGTCCCATCCCATGCCCATTTCCATGCGCATTTCCATGCCCATTCCAATGCCCATGTCCCATCCCATGCCCATTTCCATGCGCATTTCCATGCCCATTCCAATGCCCATGTCCCATCCCATGCCCATTTCCATGCGCATTTCCATGCCCATTCCAATGCCCATGTCCCATCCCATGCCCATTTCCATGCGCATTTCCATGCCCATTCCAATGCCCATGTCCCATCCCATGCCCATTTCCATGCGCATTTCCATGCCCATTCCAATGCCCATGTCCCATCCCATGCCCATTTCCATGCGCATTTCCATGCCCATTCCAATGCCCATGTCCCATCCCATGCCCATTTCCATGCGCATTTCCATGCCCATTCCAATGCCCATGTCCCATCCCATGCCCATTTCCATGCGCATTTCCATGCCCATTCCAATGCCCATGTCCCATCCCATGCCCATTTCCATGCGCATTTCCATGCCCATTCCAATGCCCATGTCCCATCCCATGCCCATTTCCATGCGCATTTCCATGCCCATTCCAATGCCCATGTCCCATCCCATGCCCATTTCCATGCGCATTTCCATGCCCATTCCAATGCCCATGTCCCATCCGATGCCCATTTCCATGCGCATTTCCATGCCCATTCCAATGCCCATGTCCCATCCCATGCCCATTTCCATGCGCATTTCCATGCCCATTCCAATGCCCATGTCCCATCCCATGCCCATTTCCATGCGCATTTCCATGCCCATTCCAATGCCCATGTCCCATCCCATGCCCATTTCCATGCGCATTTCCATGCCCATTCCAATGCCCATGTCCCATCCCATGCCCATTTCCATGCGCATTTCCATGCCCATTCCAATGCCCATGTCCCATCCCATGCCCATTTCCATGCGCATTTCCATGCCCATTCCAATGCCCATGTCCCATCCCATGCCCATTTCCATGCGCATTTCCATGCCCATTCCAATGCCCATGTCCCATCCCATGCCCATTTCCATGCGCATTTCCATGCCCATTCCAATGCCCATGTCCCATCCCATGCCCATTTCCATGCGCATTTCCATGCCCATTCCAATGCCCATGTCCCATCCCATGCCCATTTCCATGCGCATTTCCATGCCCATTCCAATGCCCATGTCCCATCCCATGCCCATTTCCATGCGCATTTCCATGCCCATTCCAATGCCCATGTCCCATCCCATGCCCATTTCCATGCGCATTTCCATGCCCATTCCAATGCCCATGTCCCATCCCATGCCCATTTCCATGCGCATTTCCATGCCCATTCCAATGCCCATGTCCCATCCCATGCCCATTTCCATGCGCATTTCCATGCCCATTCCAATGCCCATGTCCCATCCCATGCCCATTTCCATGCGCATTTCCATGCCCATTCCAATGCCCATGTCCCATCCCATGCCCATTTCCATGCGCATTTCCATGCCCATTCCAATGCCCATGTCCCATCCCATGCCCATTTCCATGCGCATTTCCATGCCCATTCCAATGCCCATGTCCCATCCCATGCCCATTTCCATGCGCATTTCCATGCCCATTCCAATGCCCATGTCCCATCCCATGCCCATTTCCATGCGCATTTCCATGCCCATTCCAATGCCCATGTCCCATCCCATGCCCATTTCCATGCGCATTTCCATGCCCATTCCAATGCCCATGTCCCATCCCATGCCCATTTCCATGCGCATTTCCATGCCCATTCCAATGCCCATGTCCCATCCCATGCCCATTTCCATGCGCATTTCCATGCCCATTCCAATGCCCATGTCCCATCCCATGCCCATTTCCATGCGCATTTCCATGCCCATTCCAATGCCCATGTCCCATCCCATGCCCATTTCCATGCGCATTTCCATGCCCATTCCAATGCCCATGTCCCATCCCATGCCCATTTCCATGCGCATTTCCATGCCCATTCCAATGCCCATGTCCCATCCCATGCCCATTTCCATGCGCATTTCCATGCCCATTCCAATGCCCATGCCCGCGCCCATGCCCATTCACATGCCCACTCCCATGCCTCCCATGCCAGCACCCATCCCCATTCCCATCCCCATCTCCATGCCCATCCCCATGCCCATCCCCATGCCCATCCCCATGCCCATCCCCATCCCCATGCCCATCCCCACGCCCATTCCCATGCCCATCCCCATGCCCATCCCCATCCCCATGCCCATCCCCACGCCCATTCCCATGCCCATCCCCATGTCCATGCCACTGCCAAGGCTCTAGCTTTTGACCAAGCCCATGCCCACGCTCATGCGCATGCCAATGCCAGTTGAGAATGGGGGGGGGAGTGTGGGGAGAGTGGGGGGAGGGATGGGGGAATCACACGGCTCATATGGGTTTTATCCTCATGCTGTGGATGGCCTGATGAGAGCTCATGCTGCAGCGCAGCTATCCTCAAGCCGGTGACCGGAGGGAGGGGGGAGGCACACGGCTCATGCTCCATTTGAGTCCGCTGAATCACTTGCATAGCAGTGGCTCCGCCCTGAAGTACCAGTGGGTATATGCACGGCCATGCCCATGCCCATGCCCATGCCCATGCCCATGCCCATGCCCATGCCCATGCCCATGCCCATGCCAATGCCCATTCCCATTCCCATTCCCATTCCCATTCCCATTCCCATTCCCATTCCCATGCCCATGCCCATGCCCATTTCCATGCCCATTCACAAGCCCATTCCCATCCCCACGCCCATTCCCGTGCCCATACCCATTCCCACGCCCATTCCCATTCCCCATGCCCATGCCCATGTCCAAGCCACTACCCTTGCTCTAATCCCCTGCGCATGCCTGTGCGCACGCCCATGCGGATGCCAATGTCGATGCCCATGCACTTGCCCATGCAAATACCTTTGTCCATGCCCATGTCCATGCCCATGCCCATGCCCATGCCCATGCCCATGCCCATGCCCATGCCCATGCCCATGCCCATGCCCATGCCATGCCCCACCCTCCCACATGCCAATCCAACCCCATCGAGTCAGCAGCACCCCAACCTCACCCATTTCCCGACCTCGCCCATTTCCCAACCTCACCCATTTCCCAACCTCGCCCATTTCCCAACCTCAACCATTGCCCAACCTCACCCAATTCCCAACCTCGCCCATTTCCCAACCTCGCCCATTTCCCAACCTCGCCCATTTCCCAACCTCGCCCATCTCCCAACCTCGCCCATTGCCCAACCTCACCCATTGCCCATCCACACCCACTGCCTAGCTCGTGTTTGAGAAAATCTCAAGATCTCACCTGCCCAGTCCCACGGTACTTTTGGTGGGCATGATGTGATCAACCACATACACCTCAAAGGAGGTTTGATTGAATGAGGATTTAAAGAGGTATGCAGAAGGTTCAAAAGCAGTTTCAAGAAGGTTTAGAGAAGGTTAAAGGTTTGAAGAAGTATAATTCGTCACATAAAATACCATATGAACCAACCAAATTGACTCACACATGCAAAAACGAGTCGTGAGTGAAGTGAGACAATGAGCTCATGTGAAACCTAGTTGAGCAGAAACTTGAGGCAAGCAAAACAGGATATGTGAGGGAGTGGGTACATGAGAAAAGAGGCCATGTGAGTATATACTGAGGGAGAGAGGCATGCATGAAATAATGGGAGTTGGAAATCCGTTATGCTTTGAACTGAGCTCAGGAGCAACTGATTACACTTTCTTCCCAAGTCACTTGCTGCATAAATCTTCTCTCACTGTTACACCGGTGTTCTGCCCTAGTAGCAAGCAGCTTGCCTCGCCCCTGCCATCCTCTCACCGTGACACAGATGCTCTGCCCAAGCCGCACAGATGCTCTGCCCAAGCCGCACAGATGCTCTGCCCAAGCCGCACAGATGCTCTGCCCAAGCCGCACAGATGCTCTGCCCAAGCCGCACAGATGCTCTGCCCAAGCCGCACAGATGCTCTGCCCAAGACACGAGCACAGGGTGAACTGAGTCGCTTCAAGCAGCAGGCAACTCCCCCACACCCCCATCCCTCCTGACCTCTGTGCTCTGCCGTACCACCTCTCCACCCCCTCCCCGATGCTAAGGTGGGGAAACGGGGAAGCAGCAGTAACGGCAGTAACGGCAAACGCCACGTGGCACGCCCTTATCTGCATCTGCATCTGCACCTGCGCTCAATGCTTCTTCCCCCTGTTACAGTCTCTTGCCGTAGTCGCTATTGCCCGTCCCGTTTTAAGTTCCTTATTTTAAAAGGCCGTCCGTCTCTCTGCTCAACATTCTCCTGCTGCGCATCTGCGATAGTGCTTCGTCGCCGCTACCTACGTCCCCTCCCCAAGTCCTCCGCCAGTCCTTCTCCCGGAACTCTCCGCCGCCCGCCACCTCTCCGCCAATAGCGTATCCCCCTCCCCTTTCGCTTCCTCTTCCGCTTCCTCATCGCGCTCGCCGCTTGAATCACTCTGACTTCATCCGCAGAAGACTCTACAACGATATCCCCGCTATAAATAGATCGAATAAACGTACAGGACATGGCGGGCTGGGTCAAGCCCACGAATTTGGCGACACCTTCTAATGCCTGGCATTGCTTGATTCGTTATATGGAGACCTAATCACCCTTAATATCGGATTGTATGCTCCTTCATAAAGCGGCTTGCCGTTGACGACCTAAGCACTAGGTTTAATCTCGGGAATGCTGCGTTCTCAACGGGGCCTGAATCTGCTGACATGTGAGGCGGTAACGGAAAGCTCAGGTGCGGAAAAATGGCGCAAACGGTGCGTTGGTTGGTTTCGAAATTAGTTTCGAAGTTGGTTCCAGCCTTGAAACGCGACGCGATCTAAGAATGTTCAGCCACCAAGCCCAGTACCGTACACCAGCAACACATCACATTCCAATTTGCTTATGAAGAGTCATTGATGCTTGTCATGTAATTCATTATTCAGAGTGCATTTTTTTCAGCTTGCGAACTCTGAACACAATTACTGAATTGAAATCACAGAGAAACAACCCATCAGGAACAATCAGGGGTAGGAAGTCTGGCAAGTCAACTGTTGGCCCCAATGCCTTGCCAGCATTCCTGCCCCTGATGATTTGACCTATTTTAGCTACTAGCATGAACCAGAGCAAAGCTAGAGCAAGCCTATCCAGACACACCCATCTAAGAAACCCTCAAGGCTCCAGCCTATCACAAACACGACTGCAGCTTGTAACAGGCTGCGGCACCAGCAAAGATTGTCAAACCATCTGCCGTATCACGCACCAACGGCATCAGCACCAGCGTGGCAGTGTGGCTCTAAACAGCAGCAGCGGCGGGCATCTTGGCGCCCATGAGCTGCCCGCCCCACGTCACACCTGCTGCGCTGCTGCCCGCCAGCACAGCATACCCGCTCACTGCAGGCGCCTGCTGCGGCCCCCCCTGCTGTTGCCCCCCCTGCTTCTGCTGCCCCCCCTGCTTATGTCCCCCCTGCTTCTGTCCCCCCTGCCTGGCCGCGCGGCCGAATGCCCCCATCAGCAGCTCCCGCCCCATGCGCCTCCCCCCCTGCCCCTTCCGCGCCCCCCCCGTGCTGCCTCCGCCGCCGCTGGTGGGCGGAGGAGAGGCGGTGGGGAGCACGGCGAGCAGCGCGTCGAGGGTGGCGGCGTCCGCGTTCTCGAGGAACGCGTCGAGGCGCGCCTCCGCATGCAGCAGCCACCACCCCGCGCGCTGCTGCCAGTCCGCCGCGGCGAGCGGCAGCGCGAGCACGTCCGTCGCGGCGGCGTCGCACACGGCGCCCTTCACGATCGCCACCGAGTCGGGCGGACCGCCCGCCGCATCCACCAGCATCGCCTCGACGAAAAGGTTGTAGTTCCCGGTGGAATTCTTGAAGACGGCGAGGTGGAAGCTGCCGTTAAGGGTCTTCTGATCCACGGTGCAGTTGGCGAGCTGCGCGCCAACATCGGCCGTCAGATTTCCGACGGCCGTCAGGTTCAGCGGAGGACCGCGCGGTCCACCAGGCCCGCCGGGACCGTCGCGACCGCCGCGACCGCCGCGACCGCCGGGACCGCCGGGTCCGCCGGAACCGGCGCCAGGGCCTCCGCGCTGACCGCCGGGAGGACCTCCGCCAGGCGGACCACGCTGCGCCAAGGCGGACGTCGACACGAGGAGGAGCACGCACGCGAGGACGAGCGCTCTGACTGCCATGGCAACTGTTGAGCTGCGATCGACGAAGTGAATGGGTTGCTAAACTAGCTGCGATTGACTAGGATGTAGTGGAAGCTGTTGGTGAGTGAGTGATATGTGAGGAGTTACAATGGCCAGTTATAGGCACGGGGAAGCTAGGAGTTGGTTTTGGTGGCCCAGAGGAGGAGACGCGAGTCAAAGCTCTGAAAGCTGGCTCCAGGTTTGGACTTTCGTTCTGGAGCCCCAAGCCGTGCTTTGATTGGGTAGCTGGAGAGGCTCGGGATAGGAAGTTGAAAATGGGCGAAGAAATTCAACGCGCCAGTCAGCGCGAAAAAAAAAACAGGTATTGACAGGCTCGCTACTGTAATTCCTACATGCTGAATGAGAATGCATCAAAGGATGAGATTTTGTTGTAATGGTGTATTCCTTATTGATTACCTTGCGACAACATTACCGTAGTCTTCATATTACTCCAGACCTTGTGACAGCAACAGTCTTCAGATTACCCCGGAGTGCATGCGTTTTAGTTGTACCTCACCTGGCTCAAGACCGCTAACAAGTGTCAGCCAATTTTCCCCAGTTGGCATGTCTCTGTGCTATAATTTTATTGAAGACAGACATTCAGCAAGACAGGAGAGCACATAGCTCAGTGCTCGACTGGCTGTCTTTGAAATGACTGTCTTCTTGTGCACGCATTGACTGCCTGCTTGTGTTGACTGACCGTGTTGCATATGCAAGGGGCTCGCGTGGTTCTGATCCTCATGTGATTGATCCTTGCTGAGAGCGCATGCGCCTGTCATCCTACCGTGTGCAATGGATGCACGGTGAGGGGAGAGTGGACGGACGGGAACTGTGAGCGGGAGGGGTGATGGTGAAGTGACAAACGAAGTAGCTGAATGATTGCTTGTGAAACCACTCACTCACCCGCATAGCAATGGCATGCCCATTCCTATGCCCATGCCCATGCCCATGCCATTACCCATGCCCATTGGCCATACCCGCCCATTGCCCATGCCTGCCCATTGCCCATGCCCGCGCATCGCCCATGCCCGGCCAGTGCCCATGCATTAGCCTCCCACTTTTTGATCCAGCCCCATCAAGTCAGCATCACCATTCACATTGCACAAGCTCACCCATTGCCAACCTCTCCCACTTCCCAGTACCGCCCAAACCCACCCATTGCCCACCCTCAGCCATTGCGTAGCCTCACCTATTGCCAAACCTCACCCATTGCCAAACCACTACTCCACCACACGCCTGTCTCATACACCTTCATCACTACTGCATGACATAGTACCTAGCTGTGCCAGCCGCCTCATTGACCCTCACCCTTGCAAGCAGGCACCCCACCCGCCCAGCTCCAAGCCCCACCTGCCCAGCTCCACAGCTCTGTTGCCGGCGGTGGTGTGATCAGCTTTGTACGCCTTGAGTGCATTCATGCTGTGCTTGGTGATCCCCAGTAGCTTACCAGAAAGGAGATGGGGAGATGACGGATGGGGAGAGCAGGAGAGGAGGAGATGGGGAGATGAGGAGATGAGGAGATGCGGAGATAGGGAGATGAGGAGAGGAGAAGATGGGGAGATGGGGAGATGAGGAGATGGGGAGATGAGGAGATGGGGAGATGGGTAGATGAGGAGATGCGGAGATAGGGAGATGAGGAGATGGGGAGAAAAGGAGATGGGGAGATAGGGAGATGAGGAGATGCGGAGATGCGGAGATGGGGAGATAGGGAGACGAGGAGATGAGGAAAAGGGGAGATGAGGAGATGAGGAGATGAGGAGATGAGGAGCTGAGGGGATGAGGGGATGAGGGGATGAGGAGATGAGGAGATGAGGGGTTTTAAGCACGGCTGTGCCCCTACCCATGCCCATGGTCCTATCCATGCCCGTGTCCCACCCTTCCACATGCCAATCCAACCCCATCGAGTCGGCATCACCATTTCCCAACCCCACCCACTTCCCATCCACACCCATTACCTAACTCCTGTGTGGCAACATTTGTCTCACCTGCCGAGCTCCACAGCTGTGCTGCTGGTGGGCCAGGGTGGGTGAGAGGGAGGGGGGGGAGCTCCACGGCTGTGCTGGTGGGTGAGAGGGAGGGGGGGGAGCTCCACGGCTGTGCTGGTGGGTGAGAGGGAGGGGGGGGAGCTCCACGGCTCTGCTGGTGGGTGTGGTGTGATCGCCAATCGACCACATGCTGTGCTTGATGGTGCCATCATCTGAAGAGATGGGATGGACGCGATAAGAAAGAAGGGGAGGGAAGGCAAGCAAGGAGGCTGATCAGGAAGTTGTGAGGGTAGTTGTAAGGGGTTTGAAGAAGGTTTGCAGGGGGTTCAAAGGCAGTTTCAATGGGGATAAGAGAACAATTGAAGAAGGTTGAATTCATCACACCAAACACCATCTGAACCAAGCGAATCCCGATTCACACGTGCAAGAAAGGGATGTGAAGTGAAGCAACGTCATGATTTGAAACCCACCTGAGCAGAAACTTGAATCGAGCCAAATATGATATGTGGGGGAGTGGGTACATGGGGGAAGAGGCCATGCATGTATATACAGAGAGTGAGGCGTGTACAAAAACACGAGAGATGGAAATTCGTTTTTCTTTGAAGTGAGCTTAGGAGCAGCTGATTCTACTTTCTGTCCACAAGTCATTTGTTGTGTCATTCTTCTCTCACAGTTACACCGGTGGTGTGCCCTAGTAGCAAGCAGGCCGCCCCTGCCCTCCTCTCACCGTGACACAAGTGCTCTGCCCAAGCCGCAATAAGGTTTGATTGAAGAAGGTAACTAAAAAAGGTTCAGAAGAGGTTAAAGTTATTACGCCAATTCTAACAGCATATCCACCAGCCGAATCAACTAAGGCATGAAACAAATAGCCGTAAAGTGAAACAATGTCAGAATCGACATGCAAAGACATAAGTAAGGCAGATTCCCTTTTGCATGCAGAGGGAAACGTAAGGGAGTAGCTAATTTAAGTGTATCGAGAGTGAGGCATGCATACAGCAGCAACTAAGAAGTCTCCTCGTGCTCGTCAGCCGATGCGTCTCGTTTCTCTCACCATTATTCTGGTGGTTAAAGCTATTACGCCCTAGACACGAGCACAAGGCGAACTGAGTCGTTTGGAGCAGCAGGCAACCCCCCACACCCCCACACTCCTGACCTTCACATCGGTGCTGTGCCTGACTGAGCCAGAAATAATCCTTTCTTTTCCCCTTCCCCTCTCCTCCACCCCCTCCCCCAACCCCCCCTTCCCTTCTCCCTTCTCTCACAGTGACACGAAGAATGGACCGGTAACGAGTTGCACAGCGCCGCATGTGGACGATAGGGAGCCGTCCTGTAAAGGGGACAAAACGTTCAGAGGCAGCACACCAAGTACTGGTGGGCGGGTGCAGGGGGCAGGGGCGCAGGTTGAGGGGCAGGGGAGCGGAACAAGGGGGAACGGACAGGGAAGAAGAAAAGGGGGGGGGGGGGGGGGGAAGGGGTGCATATTGAGGGGCAGGGAGGCGGGGCAAGGGGAAAGGAGCAAAGGAAAAGGGGCAAGGAAAAGAGGCAAAGGGAAGGGGCAAAGGGGAGGTTGAAAGCGAAGGGGGAAAGAAAGGAGGAAGGGGAAGGGAGAAAGGGCAAAGGGAAGGGCAATGGGGGGGTTGAAAGGACAGGGGTTATCTAGCTCCTTGATTGCTTTTGAGGCGCCTCAAAAGGCAATGGGGGGGTTGAAAGGACAGGGGTTATCTAGCTCCTTGATTGATGGCATATCCATTCCTAGCTCTACAGGAGCAGGGAACGGGCAAAGGTGGAGGATTCGGGGGAAATGATGGACGGGAGGGGCAAAGGAAAGGGCCAAGGTGAGGGGCCAGGAGGAGGGGAAAGGGGAAGGGACATTAGGAAGGAACAGGGGATAGGGGCAGGGGGGGAGGAGGGACAGGGAGAGGGAATGGGCAGGGGGAGGGACGGGCCGGAGGGGCAGGAGATGCAAAAAAAGAGCAAACGTTGGAGTGTTGGCTTGGCAGCAACGGCAAACGCGGATACAGCTAGCGGTATCCCCTCCCTTATCCGCCGTCCCTGTACTCGCTATTGCCCATCCCGTTATAAGCGCCCCTCTCCAAATGGCCGTGCAAATCTCTACTTGTAGTGTCACCAATGCACACCTGCGTTACCTTTTTGTCGCCGATACGCATCCCCTCCCCTTACTCCTCCGCCAGTCTTCTCCGCGGAACCCTCCGCCACCCCCCATCTCTGCGCCAATTACCGCTCCCCCTCCCGCATCATTCGCGCTTCTCGCTTGAATCACACTGAAGCCATCTGCTGCGTCATCTACTCTACGACAGGTCTCTCGCGAGATGCACACCTACGTTGATCAGATAAACGACCGTGGCGGGATGGTGCACACGACGAATCTGGCGGTACCTACAAAGTTATAATCGCCATTGCTGGAATCGTTTTATGGACCCCTACTGTCGGATTTGATGTACCTGCTTCGGGCGGTTCGCTGCTGACGGCCTAAGAACTAGGGCCTTTGTAAGTGTTGCGTGCCTTCTGAACGAGGGCTGAAAAAGCCAGCAAGTGAGACGAGATCGGGAAGCTCGGGTGCGAAAAAACGACTCAGACTGAGATCAGAGCTTCCCGAAGGTAGTTTCTCGAAGTTGGTACCTTCCAGGCTTGAAACGCGACACGACCTAAGAGCGTCCAGCCACTGAGGCTAAAGCGGTACACCAGCAGCAGATACATATTGCCTAAAAACAGTAATCAGCTTGAGATTTCGGGGTATTGTTTTGTTATTCAACACTCACAAGTGCTTTTCGCAGCTTGAGAAAACAGTTACTATCAGAACATGTCTGACACCATAAGGGAACAGAGACCAAACACTGACTTGTTGAAACCAATCACAACACCAACTACAGCGAATAGCCTCACAGAAACTATCAGGGGTAGGAAGACTGGCAAGTCAGTTGGTGTTCCCTGATGCCTTGCCAGCATTCCTGCCCTTGATGCTTTGACCTATTAGAGCTACTGGAGCACGAACCAGAGACCAAACCTATCCAGACACACATGGCTAAGAAGCCCTCGAGCCCATCACAACCACAACTGCAGCCTGCAAGGCTGGGTTCAAACCCCCAAACCCCGCAGCACGGCAGAGGAGCATCAAGCAGCAGCAGCGGGCATCTTGGCGCCCATGAGCTGCCCGCCCCACGTCACACCTGCTGCGCTGCTGCCCGCCAGCACAGCATACCCACTCACTGCAGGCGCCTGCTGCGCTCCCCCCTGCTGCTGCCCCCCCTGCTGCTGCCCCCCCTGCTGCTGCCCCCCCTGGTTCTGCCCCCCCTGCTTCTGTCCCCCCTGCCTGGCAGCGCGGCCGAATGCGCCCATCAGCAGCTCACGCCCCATGCGCCTCCCGCCCTGCCCGTTCCGTGCGCCCCCCGCGCTGCCTCCGCCGTTGCGCCCGCTGCCGCTGGTGGGCGGAGGCGAGGCGGTGGGGAGCACGGCGAGCAGCGCGTCGAGGGTGGCGGCGTCCGCGTTCTCGAGGAACGCATCGAGGCGCGCCTCCGCGTGCAGCAGCCACCACCCCGTGCGCTGCTGCCAGTCCGCCGCGGCGAGTGGCAGCGCGAGCACGTCCGTTGCGGCGGCGTCGCACACGGCGCCCTTCACGATCGCCAGCGAGTTGGGCGGACCGCCCGCCGCGTCCACCAGCATCGCCTCGACGAGAAGGTTGTAGTTCCCGGTGGAATTCTTGAAGACGGCGAGGTGGAAGCTGCCGTTGAGGGTCTTCTGATCCACGGTGCAGTTGGCGAGCCGCGCGCCAACACCGGCCGTCAGATTCCCGACGGCTGTCAGGTTCAGCGGAGGCCCGTGCGGTCCGCCAGGCCCGCCGGGACCGTCGCGACCGCCGGGTCCGCCGGGGCCGCCGTTACCGCCAGGTCCTCCGCTTGCGCCCCCCGGTCGCTGACCGCCGGGAGGACCTCCGCCAGGCGGACCACGCTGCGCCAAGGCGGACGTCGACACGAGGAGGAGCACGCACGCGAGGACGAGCGCTCTGACTGCAGCCATGACTGGTGTCGTGCTTACAGATGATCAAAACGATTTAAATCTGGTTTCCTGCTGCTGGTTTAGAGTCTAGTTGAGGAAGCAGAGAGTTGTGAGGTACTGGTGTGAAATGCAAGGATTGTCGCTGACTACTTATACCAGCGTCAAATACCAGCTTTGTTTACGAGGAAAATGGGAGACTCGAGTCAAAAGTGGGAGCCTGGTCTTCAGGTCTGGATTTCCGTCTGGTTCTGGTTTTCGCTGGCCCTGGTAGGTTAGTGGTCGAGGTTCGGAAGTTCCCACGCCGTACGCTGAGGTTCGAGTGTTCACCCTTGCCGACAGGGAGTTGAAAATGGGCGACGACATCCCACGCGTCAGTCAAAACGTGGGAAAAGTAAACAGTGACGCGGAAAAAATGCCAGCACATTGGCTGCTGCGGTATGGAGTACAGTGCTTCTTGCAGAATGTTGGAGCATGCACAACGCTCTTATAGCCTCCTCATTGGCCATATTTTTCTAAAAGTATTGAATCCGCTTGACGGAAGTGTACCAGTTCATCGAGAAGGTTGTTGCGCACATGCGAAGATATTTGCCAAACAGCCTGCAACGCGGACGGGCCTCCAACCTAGCCGCGATTGTTCCCTGCTGATTTACGCCAAAACCGGTAAGCCAGTTGCTAGTTCACTCCCAGTTCACGTTTTAGGGTTACGACCAAGTTTCAAGCATTCGTGGGAGGTTTGCCGAGACAGGAGAAGGGTGCTCGACGGTCGTTTCTGACTACATCGTTGTCCTTAACGTCGCGCTTTGACCGTCTGTGTCACGTTGGCTGACCGTCTCACGACCGACTGTTTTCGTTGAGTGCATTGACCGCATATTCGCTGGACTCGTTTAGGCTTAAATTTACAGAGCAAAAGTCATTGCAACGAGACGCGCGATATGTCGCAAGCGCGGATATACGCGGACGTGAACGTGCAGCGGCCCAAGGAGTATTGGGACTACGAGGCGCTCACCGTGCAGTGGGGGTACGTCAAGTATCTAACCCCATTTTGGGTGCCGACTTTTTTATATCGCTTTTAAAGGGGTTTGTTTGACTACGAGGCGCTCACCGTGCAGTGGGGGTACGTCAACGGTTGCGCGATGAGAGTCTAATTTCCCGCCAAATTATTGCGGGACGTATCCCCGTCGTGTCGCTTCTCACGCTCCAATCTATGTCCGCCGTTAGTGATGCGTTTTGAAGTCCAATGTCATTGTTTACCACGCTCTCAAAATTCTAATTCGCATAAAACGCATCAGCCATTTCCGTCCGTGGACCTTTTTTTTCACCTGAACTATGGAGTTCGTCTCATTGTCCTTAGATACACACGCGTCCCACAAGTCAATCCCCTATTTCTCCCTCTTCTAACCGATCACGCAGGGGCCAGGACTTTTCATCTCCATTCATCTCCTCTCCCTCACCCCCCCCGCACTACCGCCCCTTCCTTCTTCCCTTTTCCTTCTTCCCTTTTCCCCGCGACCAGAGCGACTACGAGGTGGTGCGCAAGATGGGGCGGCGCATGGTTCTCCTCTTACGTTTCCGGTCCCTCCCCATTCCCCCCCCCCTCCCCACTTCCCCCCCATTCCCTTCACCCCCCATCCCCCACTTCTTCCGCTCTTCTTTTCTTCTCCCCCTAGAAGAGACCAGGACGACTACGAGGTGGTGCGCAAGGTGGGCGGGGCAAGTTTAGCCCGATGCACGGTGCTCCTTTGTCAGTGCTTCCCTTCTCGTCGCCCTTTCTTCCCCCCGTTTCCCCCCCTGCAGCGACCAGGACGACTACGAGGTGGTGCGCAAGGTGGGGCGGGGAAACTACAGCGAGGTGTTTGAGGGGGTCAACGCGGTCAACGCGGTCACTGAGGCCAAACAATCCTGAAACCCCCCCCCCCCCTCCAATCTCGCAGCGACCAGGACGACTACGAGGTGGTGCGCAAGGTGGGGCGGGGCAAGTACAGCGAGGTGTTTGAGGGGGTCAACGCGGTCAACAGCGAGAAGTGCATCATCAAGATCCTCAAACCCGTCAAGAAGAAGAAGGTAAGTTGACTGATGGGTCAACGCGGCGGTCAACGCGGTCAACGCGGTTAACAAGGTCAACGCGGTCAACAGCGGGAAGTGCATCATCAAGATCCTCAAACCCGTCAAGAAGAAAAAGGTGAGAGTGGACTGACGGGGTCAAGGGGGGTCAACGCGGTCAACAGGGCCATCCCGCGTCCCCCATCCCTCCTCCAGTGCAACACCCACACACACATTAGATCAAGCGGGAGATTAAGATTCTGTAGAACCTGTGCAGGGGGGCCAACATCATCCGCCTGCTGGACATAACCTGCCCCCCTCCCCCATCCCCCATCCCCATCCCCATCCCCATCCCCATCCCCCATCCCCATCCCCCATCCCCCATACCCCCACTCCCATCCCGATCCCCTCATCCCCCATCCTTTCCCATGTGCAACACACACCAGACCAAAACGGTTGCAGAACCTGTGTGGTGGTGGTGGTGGGGTGGGCCCAACATCATCCGCCTGCTGGACATCGTGCGCGATTCACAAAGCAAGACGCCGTCGCTCATCTTTGAGCCCCCTCCCCATATCCCTTCTCACTCCAACCGCCACCAGATCAAGAGAGAAATGAAAATTCTGCATAACCTGTGCGCCGGGCCCAACATCATCCGCCTGCTGGACATCACCCGCCCTCCCTCATCCCACATCCCATCCTCCATTCCTCCCCGTATGCAACACACATCAGATCAAGCGAGAAATTAAGATTCTGCAGAACCTGTGCGGCGGCCCCAACATCATCCGCCTGCTGGACATTGTGCGCGACCCGCAGAGCAAGACGCCGTCGCTCATCTTTGAGTTTGTGAACAACACCGACTTCAAAGTGCTCTACCCCACTCTCTCTGATTACGACATCCGCTACTACATCTACGAGCTGCTCAAGGTGTGCTGAATGGGTGTGTGACCATGCTATGTGATCACGTCGTGTGATGTGACCATGTTTTTGTATGCCGGTGTCTCTGTTCGCAGCACTTGAGTCAAAGTGCTCTACCCCACGCTCTCTGATTACGACATCCGCTACTACGTCTACGAGCTGCTCAAGGTGCGCTTGTGGGGCAGTGCTGAAGGTGGGTGGGAGCATGTGATTGTGTGCATCATGCATGCATGTGTCTGTGCTCATGGGACTTTGAAGTGCTCTACCCCACGCTCTCTGATTACGATATCCGCTACTACATCTACGAGCTGCTCAAGGTGCGCTTGTGGGGCTGTAGGCGTGACTGGAGGGGCACTGGAGGGGCACTGGAGGTGCACTGGAGGGGCACTGGAAGGGCACTGGAAGGGGCACTGGAAGGGGCACTGGAAGGGGCACTGGAAGGGGCACTGGAAGGGGCACTGGAAGGGGCACTGGAAGGGGCACTGGAAGGGCACTGGAAGGGCACTGGAAGGGCACTGGAAGGGCGTGTGACCATGTGCTTGTGTCTGTGCCTCACCGTGCCCTTCATTCCCTGTGTTCCCTTCCCTTCCCATCCTGCCCCGCCAGGCTTATGACTTCTGCCACTCAAGCGAATCATTCATGAGGATGTGAAGCTTCTCCCTTCAACCCTCAAGTTCCCTTCTCTTCCCTTCCCATGCGTGCGCCCCACCAGGCGTTGGACTTCTGCCATTCACAGGGCATCATGCATCGGGACGTGAAGCCACATAGTGTGATGATCGACCACGAGCAGAGGAAGCTGCGCCTCATGCATACACCTCCACTCCCAATGCTCCCTGGCATCACAACTCCACATACCCCACTGCCAGGCTCTGGACTTCTGCCACTCACAGGGCATCATGCACCGGGACGTGAAGCCGCACAACGTGATGATCGACCACGAGCAGAGGAAGCTGCGCCTCATTGACTGGGGGCTCGCCGAGTTCTACCACCCCAACAAGGAGTACAACGTTCGGGTGGCATCTAGGTACGGTGTACTGTGTGCACGCATGTGATGCATCTTGGAATGCCTAGGCAGGCTCATTGGCTGGGGCCTGGCGGAGTTCTACCACCCCAACAAGGAGTACAACGTTCGGGTGGCATCTAGGTACGGTGTACTGTGTGCACGCATGTGATGCATCTTGGAATGCCTAGGCAGCCTCATTGACTGGGGGCTCGCCGAGTTCCACCACCCCAACAAGGAATACAACGTTCGCGTTGCGTCCAGGTCAGTCAGTGGTTGTGCTACGGCAGTGTGGCAGTGACTGTTCTGTTCTTAGGTGCGTGAAGGCATGAGCAGACGAAGCCGCGCCTCATTGACTGAGGGCTGGTGGAGTTCCACCACCCCAACAAGGAGTACAATGTTCGGATGGCGTCGAGGTCAGTCAGTTCTGTTGCCACACGGTACGCACGCACGCTGTACCGCGTGCAGTGCGCGCACGCTTGTGATGCACCCTGGAATGCCTTGCCTCATCGACTGGGGGCTGGCGGAGTTTCACCACCCCAACAAGGAATACGATGTCCGGGTGGCGTCGAGGTCAGTCAGTTCTGCGACACGGTACGCACGCACGCTGTACCGCGTGCAGTGCAGTGCACGCATGCGATGCACCCGGAATGCCTAGACTCATTGACTGGGGGCTGGCGGAATTCTACCACCCCAACAAGGAGTACAACGTTCGCGTGGCGTCCGTCCAGGTATCGTGTACTGTACGGTATGCAGGCATGGCATGTGGCACATCTTGGTATGCCTGGGTGGGTGCAGTGCAGTGTAACTGAGGGCTGACAGAGTTGTTGTACTGTCTGTACCATCCCAGCAAGCAGTACAGCGTGCGCGTGGCGTCCAGGTGCGCGGAGCTGTATGGCGTGCAGGAAGGAACGTGACGCATCATGAAGGTGGTGCACGGTGGTGAGTGAGTCAGCATCATGAAGGTGTTTGCGTCTCTTCGTGCTCCCCTCCCCTCCCTATCCCCGCAGGTACTTCAAGGGTCCCGAGCTGCTAGTGGACCTGCAGGATTACGACTACTCGCTTGACATGTGGAGCCTTGGCTGCATGTTCGCTGGCATGGTGAGACTCGGGTTGGGGGCTTGGTGAGATCACTGAGCAGTGAGCACGGATCATGAGGTGCATGCGTGTACACAACAGACGTACAGGACTATGATTACTCGCTGGACATGTGGAGCCTTGGCTGCATGTTCGCTGGCATGGTGAGCCATGGGGGGGCGTGGCGAGAGCATGGAGCATGATGTGCATGCACGTAAGCACTGGAGTGGACCTACAGGACTGCGATTACTCGCTGGACATGTGGAGCCTTGGCTGCATGTTCGCTGGCATGGTGAGCCATGGGGGGCGTGGCGAGAGCATGGAGCATGATGTGCATGCACGTAAGCACTGGAGTGGACCTACAGGACTGCGATTACTCGCTGGACATGTGGAGCCTTGGCTGCATGTTCGCTGGCATGGTGAGCCATGGGGGGCGTGGCGAGAGCATGGAGCATGATGTGCATGCACGTAAGCACTGGAGTGGACCTACAGGACTGCGATTACTCGCTGGACATGTGGAGCCTTGGCTGCATGTTCGCTGGCATGGTGGGTGGGTGTGGGTGCATGGTTTGTGTGGTGTGGGGAGGGACATGGTGGGGGTGTGGAACATGGAGGGTGTGGTGTACGGGTCATGATGAGCCGTGGATGCATGTACAGAGTATATTAAGAGCGGACTGTGGCTGTTGTCCGAGTGGCTCTGTATAAACCAGCATTACTCTTCTACCTTCTCCCCCTCCTATCCCCCCCGGCTCCTCTCATTTCCCACTGTCAAAGATGCTTGTTCCTTTCCTTGACCCATACATGTGCTGCTCACATACCCCGCAACAAACCCCTGTTGATGCCCACTATTGTCCATCACCATCATCTCCGACACCCCACCCCCACCCCCTCTTTCCGTTCACTTCACTCTGCCCCTGCCCGTCCCTTCTCTCCCCATACCCCAGCCCCATGCCCTGTGCCTTGTGCCCTGTGTGTGCCCTCAGATATTCCATAAGGAGCCCTTCTTCTACGGCCACAGCTGACCATTACATCACCTCCTCTCACCCTCCCTTTCCCGCATTTCTGTGAATCTCGCCCGTCTCTCCATTCGCTCTCCCCTGTGCGTGCGCGCAGATATTCCGCAAGGAGCCTTTCTTCTACGGCCACGACAACTACGACCAGCTTGTCAAAATCGCCAAGGTGCGAAGCTCTTGGCGCCTCAGAAAGCAGGGGCGACTGACGGACTGACTGAGACTGACTGACTGACTGACTGAGTCACGCAAACCTGTCGCACGTGCACAGTGGGGCAAGGCCTGGCAGTCCGACCTGTTCCTCCTGGCTGGTTTACCCCCGATCATGATCATCACCGGGATGATCACTTTTGGCTTTTCAGATCTCCACCGTCCAAGCTGTGGGCTGTGAGCATCATCGATTCTTGTGAGGAATCTGTTTCTTTCAGAGTCTCAGTGACATGCTTGGCTTGGCAGGAAATCAGTGCTCCGCACATCCCTTCCGTATGCTTCGCTCCCTAAAACCCCTTTCCTGATCCCGATCGTTCCACTTCGCCACGTCTCATCATCCCACTCTCAGGTCCTGCGAACGGACGAGCTGAACAGCTACCTGGGCAAGTACAGCATCATGCTGGATGGACCCTCGTCTTTACCACCCCTCACTGTAGTCGTTGTTTGCCTCACCTATCATCATCCTACATGCAGGTGCTGGGCACGGACGAGTTGAACAGCTATCTGGGCAAGTACAGCATCATGCTGGACCCGCATCTGGAGGCGCTGGTGGGGCGGCACAGCCGCAAGCCGTGGTCCAAGTTTGTCAACAGTGACAACCAGCACCTTGTCTCCCCTGAGGTATGCTGTTTGGGATGTTTGGGGTGTTTGGGGTGATTTTTAAGACGGTTCAAAGCTGGTGGGGCAGCACAGCCGCAAGCCGTGGTCCAAGTTCGTTAACAGCGACAACCAGCACCTTGTCTCGCCCGAGGTATGCTGTATGTTGCATGGGCCATTGCCCACATCCCCCCTGTGCCTTCTTCCATCCACCCCTGCCTTCTCCCCATCCGCCCTTGCCTTATCCCTTATCTCTCTGTGTCTCTTTTCTTCTCATTGCTGTCGCTCATTCCCGCTGGTTGCCGCCTACTCCCTGCAACACGTGGTGGGCAGGCGGTGGACTTTCTGGACAAGCTGCTGCGGTACGACCACCAGGACCGACTCACAGCCAGAGAGGCCATGGTGAGTGGTGCTCACGGGGTTGATAAGGGGCTGGTAAGGGTTGATAAGGGGTTGGTAAGGGTTGATAAGGGGTTGATTAGGGAGGGGTGTGAAGTTCTGGACAAGCTGCTGCGGTACGACCACCAGGACCGACTCACAGCCAGAGGGGCCATGGTGGGTGAAGTAGAGGGGCCTTGATGGTGCTGGTGTAAGGGGTTTGGTGCTGGTGATGTGGAGGTGAGACATTGATGTGATGTGCCTGGCTGAGCTGTTGAGCTGCTGCAATACCACCACCAGGACCGGCTCACAGTGGTGGATGCCATGGTGGGTGGTGCTGAGTCATTCAGTGAGGCTGTTAGAGCGTATTCCTATCCTCGTATCAAGAAAACCTCATATCAACCTCCCACTGAAAATTTCCCTAAACCCAAAACCTCTCGCTACTTTTACCAGACAAAAAGTACAATCTTGATATGAGGTTTTCTTGATACGAGGATAGGAATACGCTCTTAGTGAAGGGGGTGGATGCGGTGTGGATAAGGCTGGGCTGTTGAGTTTCTGAATGTGTCTAGTGGCCAGGTGGTGGGTGGTGTAGAAGCCATGTTAAGTTGTGTAGAGAGGCTAGAGTGGTCACTCTGTGTCTGATTTTTCCCTTCCACTCTTTTAATATTTCCCAATCTGAAGCACCTAATCTTTCTGTGTCTCCTCATTTCCATTTTCTCTTTGTCTCGTGTCCTTGTGCAGGCGCATCCTTATTTCTACCCTGTGCGGCAACAGGAGGCACAGGCAGGCAGGCATAACTAGTGGCCCGTCGCACGGGATTGCCCACAGCTGGCATGATGCCATGCCATTATTGTTGGATAATATTTGTCAAATAACAACAATATGGTCACTGAATTTGTTATTGTTCTCCAAAAGAGTTTATAACAAATATTTCTCCTTTAGAACAAGGCGTAACTCTTTCCGCGTTCATCTGCGGGTGATGCATGCACCGCGTCAAGATACATGCGCCTCCAGCCCGCGTTCACTTTTGTCCCGCGCCCGCGTATTCGCTGGCACCTCGGTTTTGCCGCACGAGTCTGTTGGCGCAGCCGGAAACTGCTGTGGGCTGTTGAGGGGAAAATGGCTGAACTCCGCGCGGAAATGCTGCATCCGCATGCCCGTGCTTCTTCCCCGCCCACTCCCCACCTCTCCCCCTTCCATCTCCACCCCCCAGCTTCCCAGCTATTGCCGACCTTCTAGATTCTCCCACACCCTATCCGCCTGTAGTTCTATCAACTCGTGTTTACAACACTATTCGCCGTAACTCGCAAGCTAGTTATGGCTGCTCCCGCCGCCTCCTTGAGCGCGTCGCAGCATCTTTGCCGCCTTAATCTCACAATTCCGGCTGCGGTAACCCGCGGTAACGTGCGCGAGCTCAGGGCTGCGCCAGTGCGCGGGAAGGGGCTGAAGGCGAGTGCGCGCGGAAGCGATCGGCGGAAGGCAGCAGCAGCAGCGGGAAGGAGCGCGCGATTGGGGTGCCGTGCGATGGCGAGCGAGGTGAGCGACGGCTGGCGACGACGGCTGTGCTGTGCGACGTGAGCGATTGCGACGATGCATGTAGATGACTAGTACCAGCGACCCACCATCTGCCTTCCGTGAATCTCGTCTCTCAAATTTCGACTCACCCTCGCGCGCCTCGTGTTTTCCCCCTCTTCCCGCCCTCGCCGCTCTCCCCGCCCTCCCTGCTCTCCCCGCTCTTCCGGCTCTCCCCGCTCTCCCTGCGCTCCCTGCACCCTCCCTGTTCTCCGCGTTCTCCGCGTTCCCCGCGATCCCCGCGTTCCCCGCATTCCCCTCGCTTTCGCACTCCCCGCGTTCTCCGCGCTCCGCGCTCCGCGCTCCTCTGCGACTTTCATCCCCCCCAGGGCGGTTCCGCCACAACCGTTTCAGCGCCCTCCACGGCCACGCAGCTTCCCGACCTCATGGTATGACGTGGCATGCCTGACGTGGCATACTGGGTTCGACGTGGCACGGATAGGAATGGCGTGTAGATCACTACGCACACGGCCCTCACAAGCAGGTCGTGTCAAATCGTTTTGCTGCAAGAAACTTGAGAGTCGTTTTTCTCGTGAATCCTCAAGAGTGCTGCGAGACGCGTTAGCTGTTGTCAGCCAACGAATGTTAGCTTTCTTTGAGGCGCCTCAAAATGACGATTTTCGATAGCAATGATTTTACCGATGCGTTTGTTGACGGGTCGTAAAAAAAAGTGTTTCTCTCTCACTGCCCTTCCGCCACACCTCCCCCTCCTCCCCCCCCACCCCCCACCACTCAACCCCGCAGTCTCGCTGAGTCAATAACCTTGTGCTTCCTATGCCTCTCCTCCCTTCATCCCCCAATTTCTCTCCCTCCTCCGACCCCGTCCCTCCGTTCCTGCCCTCCTCCCTCCCTTCCTCCCTCCCTTCCCTCTCCTCCCCTTGGTCCCTCGCGCCGCAGACTGAGTGCAGGGTGGGCATAACCTGCCAGAGCTGCGTATAAGCCGCAGAGCATAACCTACCGGGAGGAAGGGCATGGTGCTCCCGGGAGCTGCGTCATAACATGTCCCGGGCCTCACCCCCCTTGCTCCATCATGGAGCTCTGTGTTCCCCATGCCCTTCCTCCCGCCCGGCCTCACCCCCTTGCCCTCCTCTCCCCTCCTCTCCCCCCTCCTCGTCTCTCACAGACGGAGTTCATGGTGGACATGTCGTGCTAGAGCTGCGTCAAGAACGTTGTGCTCCCCTTACTTCTCCCTCCTTCCTCCCTTCTCTCCCTCCTTCCTCCCTTCTCTCCCCCCCTCTCCTCCTCACCCTTGGTCTCTCACAGACCGAGTTCATGGTGGACATGTCGTGCCAGAGCTGCGTCACGAACGATGTGCTCCCCATGTCGTCCGTAGCGTATCATACCACTTAACTCTTCCCCCCCCCCTGCCCCTGTCTCGCCTTGCAGACGGAATTCATGGTGGACATGTCGTGCCAGAGCTGCGTCAGAACAGTGTGCTCCCCATACCTCCCCTCCCTACCTCCCTTCCTCCCTTCCTTCCCCCCCTTCCTCTCCGCACCCTCGTCTCTCCTCACAGACGGAGTTCATGATGGACATGTCGTGCCAGACTGCGTCAAGAACGAACGCTGTGCTCCCCACCCATACCTCTCCTCCCTTCCTCCCTTCTTTTCCCTCCTCCCCTCCCTCCCCTTCTCCATCGCCCGCATCAGACCGAGTTCATGGTGGACATGTGCTGCCAGAGCTGCATCAAGAACAGTGTGCTCCCCGTGCATTCTCCTTCCCCACTTCCTCACCCCTCTCCGCCCCTCCCCTCATGCCTATCAGACGGAGTTCATGGTGGACATGTCGTGCCAGAGCTGCGTCAAGAACGTGCGGGGGAAGCTGGAGCCTCTGGAAGGTGAGTGGGAACCATTGGGATGGGGCGGTGGGCGCCACCTCCCCATGCCTCTCCTCCCTCTGGAAGGTGAGTGGGAACCATTGGGATGGGGCGGTGGGCGCCACCTCCCCATGCCTCTCCTCCCTCTGGAAGGTGAGTGTGTGAACCATTGGGATGGGGAGGTGGAAACTCGGAAGGAGGAATGGTATGGCAGGGGTTTTATAAAAAATAGCATGTATACATGATGGGAGTTTTATCTTGGAATAGAATAGCACATAAGCTAAGATATAGTGGAATGGAATGGATCAACAGGTGCGTGCGCCTCCCTGGAATGACTTTTGTAAGCTGGAATGCTCCATCGACTCAAAAGTCACCTCATAAGCTGATAAGATATATTGGAATGGATCTACAGGTGCGTGCGCCTCCCTGGAATTGTGTCTCTGGCGCGAGCATATAGATAGATGTGAGATATGGTGTGCCCGCATGATTTTTGAGGCGCCTCAAAAATCTTCCCTGGAATTGTGTCTGGCGCGAGCATATAGACAGGTGTGAATTATGGTGTGTGTGTCCGCATGGGCCGTGGCTGCTGCACTGCACTGCGCGTGTGAGGCGTTTCAACGGTACGCACGTCCTCGCGACTTCTGCGTGTTTTGCGTTGATATTTGGCCTGCTTTTGCAAGCCCGGAGCTTCAGTTTCTGGCCTTGCAGAGGGTGTGTCTGTTGGGTTGGGCTGCCCCACTCTCGCCCAGCCCACCTTCGTCTTCCGTCCCTTACCAGGCAGGCAGCAAGGTGGTTGAATTTTGAGTCGACTCAAAAGTCACCTCCTTACCAGGCAGCAAGGTGGTTGAATTGAATCTCGCAGGTGGTGCGATTGCTCGGAAGCGCCACGCTAGCCTGTCCTCCTCTCTCACTCACTCCCTCACACTCCTCACTCCCCTCACTTCCCTCACCCTCTCTCGCCATTGCTCCCTCTCTCCCTCAATTCCTCTCCATCTCTCACTAAACGTCAAGTCAGTGGACATCAGTTTTTGAGTCGCAGGTGGTGCGCGTGTTGGGCAGTGCCACGCTGGTCCGTCCTCCTCCCCCTTCACTTCCCTCATTCCCTCTCTGCCTCAGTTCCTCGCCATCTCTCACCAGGCGTCAAGTCAGTGGACATCAGATTTGGAGTCGCAGGTGGTGCGCGTGTTGGGCAGTGCCACGCTGGTCCGTCACTCCCTCAATTCCTCTCCATCTCGCACAACACAAACGTCAAGTCACCTTGGTGCGCCTGTTGGGCAGTTCCTTTTGAGTCGACTCTAAAGTCACCTTGGTGCGCCTGTTGGGCAGTGCCACGCAAGCCCTCCCTTCGATCCCCTCACTCCCCTCACTCCCCTCACTCCCCTCACTCCCTCTCTCTCCCTTTCTCTCCATCTCACCAGGCGTCAAAGCAGTGGACATCATTCTCGAGTCGCAAATGGTGCGATTGCTGGGCTGGCCGTGGTGCCACTTGAAAGGACTACACAATGCCCCCTCCCGTTACCCACCCCTCTTCCTTCTCTCACCAGGCGTCAAGGAAGTGGACATCATTCTCGAGTCGCAGATGGTGCGATTGCGGGGGGGGGGGGTGCCGCACTGGTCGTCCCCTGCCCTCACTCCCCTCATTCCCCCTCTCCCTCACTCTCCTTGTCTCACCAGGCGTCAAGCTGGTGGACATCAGTCTCGAGTCGCAGGTGGTGCGCGTGTTGGGCAGTGCCACGCTGGTCCGTCTTTCCCCCTTCACTCCCCTCATTCCCCCCCTCCCTCTCTTCCCATCTCTCGCCAGGCGTGAAGGCAGTGGACATCAGTCTGGAATCGCCTCGAGTGTTGGGGAGTGCCACGCTGCCACGTGGCCTGTCCTCTCCTCCCCCTCCCCTCACTCCCTCATTCCCTCTCCCTTTCTCTCCATCTTTCCACCAGGCGTCAAGCTGGTGGACATCAGTCTCGAGTCGCAGGTGGTGCGCGTGTTGGGGAGCGCCACGCTAGCCCAGCTGGAGGAGGCGTTGAAGAAGAGCGGCCGCAAGGCGCGGCTGATCGGCCAGGGGGACCCTTCGCGTGAGTGATTGTGAAGGCCATGGGTGTGCAAGTGACTTTTGAGGCGCCTCAAAAGTCGTCTCTCTACCCGCAATTTTTTAGGCGCCTCAAAAGCCGTCGCGTGAGTGATTGTGAAGGCCATGGGTGTGCAAGTGTGTGGAGGGCTGTTGCATGAGTAAACTCTCACTGGGCCATGGTGTTGGGGAGTGAGTGCCACGCTAGCCCAGCTGGAGGAGGTGCTGGAGAAGAGCGGCCGCAAGGCGCGGCTCATTGGCCAGGGCGACCCGTCTCGTGAGTGAAGCAGGGTTTAGGATCCAGGCATGAAGGCATAGGTGTGGCACAGTGGCGGTGCGGAGAGCTATTGCACGAGTGATATCTCACGGAGCTGGGCAGTGCCACGCTGGCCCAGCTGGAGGAGGCGCTGAAGAAGAGCGGCAGGAAGGCCCGGGCGACCCGTCTCGTGAGTGATGGTGAAGGGCATATGTGTGGATCAGCCGTCTGACATAGTTCTCAGCGAGCAGCAGACTAGATCTGGGCTTACAAGATAGACTGTGTTTAAAAACGCCTGTACTACTAGATCTCAACAGATTCCGAGCGAGCTCAACGCTCTGCAGTGCAACCACCAAATAGCACCTCCCGCGCCCTCACCCTTGTCTCCCCTCACCCGTGTCTCCCCTCAGCCATGTCTTCCCCTGGCGTCCTCAACCCTCTCTTCCTTCCGCTTTCCTCTTCTCTGTCCATCCGTCCCTCCCTTCGACCCTGGAGCTGGTTCGCACAACAGCAATGGGGGGCTTAAAGACCCCTCCGGTTCGCTTCCATCTCTTACCTTCCTCACGTTCTCTCTCCTCTCGTCCTCCTCCCTCATCTGCTCTTCCTCTTTTCCGTCCATCCATCTCTCCCTGTTACACCAGAGCTGGCCCTCACAGCAGCAGTGGCGGAGTTCAAGGGGCCGGTGATCCACGGTGTAGTGCGGTTCGCCCAGGTGAGGCGGGCCGTCTTTTAGACTGCCTGAGCGGGCTGAGAGCATGGGACCTCGAGCCCTGTTAGGCGGCTATCGTTTTGAAGGCCCAGCTAAGGGCATGCCACGGATCCAACTTACTGATCAGGCTGACTTGACTGACCGCTTTGTGACATCAAATGCGTCTTGTAAGCGGAGAACACTGGAGCTTTTCATTTCATTCAAGGGGGGCAAAGTTAGCTGTTTCAAAAGTCACCTCAAAGTCATACCGACCCACATAGTATTGTTTTTATCCATATGAGTAACTCTGCTGCCCCTCCCCCTCTCCCTTCCCCGCCCATCTCCCCCCCCTGTCACGCCCATTCCTATCCAATCCACCTCCCCTCAAGTGAGCGTGGGGTTGGTGCGTGTGAAGGCGGTGTTTGAGGCGACTCAAAAGTCGTGTGGAGCGGTGGCCTGGCCAGGCAGAAGCTGCACCTGTATCACTGCCACCCCCTTCCTCCTTCCCCCCCCCTTCCCCCCACCTCCCCCTCCCCTCCTCCCTCCCCCAGGTGAGGCGCACGGAGGACGTGCGCATGGAGGCTCAGTTGGGTGGCAGGACATGGGGCCTCAGAGGGACCACGCAGTTCTGTCGCCGCCTTTGTTTGTACCACTGTCTTCTCATCCCTTCTCCCCTTCCCCTCCTCTCCCCCCCTCTCCCCCACCAGCTGAGCATGGAGGAGGTGCGGGTGGAAGCGATTAGCATGCAGAAACTGTAACACCTCCAACGCCCTTCTCGCTCCCCGCCCTCCCCTCCCCCCCCCGCTCCCCTCACCAGTTGAGCATGGAGGAGGTGCGGGTGGAAGCGATTAGCATGCAGAAACTGTAACACCTCCAACGCCCTTCTCGCTCCCCGCCCTCCCCTCCCCACCCCGCTCCCCCCACCAGGTGAGCATGGAGGAGGTGCGGGTGGAGGCGCAGTTTGACGTCCTCGCGCCCTCGACTGCCCATGCATGGGCTGTCAACGAGAGTGCCACCCAGTGTATGTATGTACCATTGCCTTCCCTCCCCTCCCCCCACCAGGTGAGCACAGAGGAGGTGTGGGTGGAGGCGCAGTTTGATGGCCTCTCCCCCTCCACCGCCCATGCATGGGCTGTCAACGAGTATGGGGACCTCACCCGACCCGAGTGTCACCATTGAGTGTCACCATTGCATGTACCATTGCCATCTCTCCCCCTCTCCCTCCTTCCACTCTCCCCCCCCCCCCCCCGCGCCCGTCTTTTTCCTCCCAGGTGAGCATGGAGGAGGTGCGGGTGGAGGCGCAGTTTGACGGCCTCTCCCCCTCCACCGCCCATGCGTGGGCTGTCAACGAGTATGGAGACCTCACGCGCGGCGCTGACAGCACCGGCAGGTGCTATCCAGGGGAGGCGCCATCTGCTGCTGTTGCTGCTGATGGGGTACGTACATTGCAGCAGGAACAATAGTTCAGCTAGTTGTTGGGTGCTTCTTGGGGAAGGCGTCAACTGCCACTGCTACTGATGCTGGGGTACTTTCAGAGTGTAGACTAGTTTTGAGGAGACTCAAAACTAGTGCTGCTGATGATCGGGTACTTTCGGAGTGTAGACAGACTGTTCAATGCGGTGCCCAGCTGTTGCGGGTCCCGCCCATATCCTCTCCTTTTTCTCCTTCCCTCTAATTCCTCCGTTTTTCACCCCTCCCCTTCACAGCCCGCCCGCAGCTTGGGTGTGCTACAGGCAGACTGCAAGGGCCATGCTGCCAATGCAGCGTGCAGCACGCGCCTCAAGGTTCATAGGCTGGGCCGTGGGTCATGTCATGTCATGTCCCCTACCCTCCCTCTACCCTCCCCTCCTTTCCGCACTATCCCTTCACAGCCCGCGGGTGACTTGGGCGTTCTGAACACAGACGACAAGGTCCATGCGTCCTACGCAGCCCCCAGCACGCGCCTCAAGGTGTGGGACCTCATCGGCCGGGCCACCTGTGGTCTTGCCCCTCTCCACTCTCCCCGGCTCATCCTTGTTCTCCCCTCCCCTCTCTCTACTCTCCCCTCCTTTCCCCACTATCCCTTCACAGCCTGCAGGCGATCTGGGAGTTCTGAACACGGACGACAAGGGTCATGCATCCTATGCAGCACCCAGCACGCGCCTCAAGGTGTGGGACCTCATAGGCCGGGCCGTGGCGGTGTATGACGGGGCTGACAGGAGCAGCAGCAAGGGGCTGGCAGCAGCGGTGATCGCGCGCAGTGCAGGAGTGGGGCAGAACTACAAGTCGCTGTGCTCCTGTGATGGCACCATCATCTGGGAGGCCACTCCGAGCGACTATGTGCAGCAGAAGTAGAGCTTCTGGAGTAGATTTGATGTGAGGGGCAGGTTCTTTTGTTAGTGTATGTTGTTGACTATTACTGTTTTATGCATGTTAACTCTGTACAACATGAGTTAGATATCTCTGAAGTTGCAATGACTAAGCAGCCAAGATTTTATCCTTGCTGAGAAATCATTTCCCGTTCCAATTGTTTCTTTCATTTAGTGTCATAACTTGTCAGAAGAGCCTACCCCACTTCCACCTTCCCCATCTCTCCCCCCCATGAGTGGCGCTTCCTCTTCCCTTATCCCACTACCGCCACCCCCAGACAATCTATTCTTTAGCACTCTGAACAAGGAACCAGAGGAAGGGCTAATAAGGTCCCTAGAGGGCGGGGTAATTGCAACTCCCAGCTTCTCCTGATCCTTGCCCCCACTCGCACTACCCGCCATTTCTATACCCGCATTGGAGGAATGGGAGTGGGTGGAAGCTGAGGTGGGGGTGGTGTTGCTGCTAGGGTTTGTTATAGCCAAAAGGTTACTGCTGCTGCTGTTGCTGTTGCCACTGCTGCCGATGGCGCTACTGGTGGCGGTGGAAGCTGATTGGCTGGCTGCTGCTGCTTTGGTGACCGCGTACCAGCTCTTGTAGTAGAGAGCACCGAATACCACCACCTGAGGAAGGGTGGCGAAGGGGGAGAGAGGGAGGGGGGGGGGGGGAATGGGCAGGTTGAGGGCGTCTCTTAGGATTCTCAAGAACTGTCTTGTAGTAGAGAGCACCGAATACCACCATCTGGTGAAAGGGGTTGTCGGGAAGGGAGTGGAACTGGCATACACGAATTGGGGAGAGGTGTTTCTGGGGAAGGGCATTATTGAGGATTCTCACGAATTCTTTTGTAATTGAGAGCACCAAAGAGCACTTCCTAAGAAAGGGGTGTGTGGGGGAGTGCATTTGAAGAAAACAATACAAGACACTAAGTAATAGGGAGCACCAAACACCACCACCACCTGGTGAAGGGTGGTGCAGGGGGGTGGAATGGGCAGATGCAGGGTGTACTTGAAATTTATAAGAAACACTAGTGTAGTAGATAGATAGCACCAAAAAAGCCACCACCAGGTGAAGGGTGGTAGGGCGGGGGAGTAAGCGCATTGGCGAGGTGTTTTGGGGAATTCTGAAGTAGAGTTCACTGAAAGACCGCCATCTGGTGAGAGGTGGTGCAATAGGGAGTGCGGTGGTGCAGTAGGGAGTGCGGTGGTGCAGTAGGGAGTGTGGTGGTGCAGTAGGGAGTGCGGTGGTGCAGTAGGGAGTGCGGTGGTGCAGTAGGGAGTGCGGTGGTGCAGTAGGGAGTGCGGTGGTGCAGTAGGGAGTGCGGTGGTGCAGTAGGGAGTGCGGTGGTGCAGTAGGGAGTGCGGTGGTGCAGTAGGGAGTGCGGTGGTGCAGTAGGGAGTGCGGTGGTGCAGTAGGGAGTGCGGTGGTGCAGTAGGGAGTGCGGTGGTGCAGTAGGGAGTGCGGTGGTGCAGTAGGGAGTGCGGTGGTGCAGTAGGGAGTGCGGTGGTGCAGTAGGGAGTGCGGTGGTGCAGTAGGGAGTGCGGTGGTGCAGTAGGGAGTGCGGTGGTGCAGTAGGGAGTGCGGTGGTGGGAACAAAGAGCAGTGGCTGAGGGCAGAGCGCACGAGGACGACAAAAGCCGGGGGTTCTGGTGGAAAGGGAAGACAGGCGAGGTAGCCTATGGGGAAAGCGGTGAAACTCGGTTGATGGAAAATGCTGTAAGCTTAAAACGGCCAGGGACGACGGAGTTGGGGGAGACGAACGCCTAATTGACGAGAGACGGAGGTGACAGAGCAAGTCTTGGGATGAGGGGTGAGCACTTACTGTGCCGACTTGCTGTGTGGAGGAGAGAGGCGGACCATAGACGGTAGATGATAGCACGATACTGAGAAGCTGGTGGTAGGGATGGGCGGACGGAAAAGGAGCATGGGATGGGACGAATTGGGAATGAACAAGAGAAAGGGCAATGATTTAGGAGTATGTGGCATGAGATGCGCAGAAGGATAAGATAGGGTCCCCTTGTTAATGTTAGCCCTCAATCTCACACTTTGTACTTGTACTTTTTATATCCTAGTTTAGTGTAGTTTGCACTTTGTGTTTGGTTGGGTGTACACCCACATCCCAACCAAACCCAAATGTGATCTTCAAGCAATCTCCAACCCACCAATTGGAGATTGCCTTGGGATTACCCCCAATTCCCTAGGATTGCCCCCGATTCTCTCCCCACCTTAACCTTGCCCATTTCCAATGTACTTAAAGAGCCTTGAGCTCATTACTAATGCATGGATTCTGAGCTCACTTCTAACACCCCTTTCTTCAGCATATTAAGACTTGCACAAAGGGAAACGTGTTGATTGAAGAGGTGACATGGAAGGAGTAACTTGGGCATGGCTTGAGAAGAAAACGGACAAAGGCAATTAAACATGCACGTGCAGAGATGCACACACACAACATGCACACCGCAAGTACGCAACATGCATACAGCACACCACACCGCACACAGCACTCACCTGGCGGGTGGTCATGATGGTGGCGAAGGTGAGAGCACCAAAGGTCTTAATGGTGTAGGAGATGAAGAACTGGCTTATGGTGGCCGCCTGGTGGGATAAGGAGGTAGGGGGAAGGGGGGACAGAAATGGAGAAACGGCTGCTGTCTTGATGGTGTAGGAGATGAAGAACTGGCTTATGGTGGCCGCCTGGTGGGGTAAGAGGGAACATGACGGAGGTGGGGGAAGGAAGGGGAGAGACGGGGGAGGGAGAAATGGCTGCTACCTTGATGGGGTGTAGGACATGAACAACTGGCTAATGGTGGCCGCCTGGTAGGGGGAGATGGGAGGGAGGGGAAGGGAGTGCAGGCAGCTGGCATGTTGATGGAGTGTGTGGGAGATGAGTTTTGAGTCGACTCAAAACTCAGCTGGCATGTTGATGGAGCGTGTGGGAGATGAAGAACTGGCTGACGGTGGCCGCCTGGTGGGGTGGTGGGAAAAGTGAAGCGGAGGTGGGGAGAGTTGAAGGGGGGCTTTGGAAGGGAGATTCGGCTGTTATCTTGATGGAGAGTGTGTCGTAGATGAAGGGAGTGCGTGGGAGGAAGGGGGAGGGGAGGAGTGGGTGGTGTGTTGATGGAGTGTGTATGAGAATCTAGATGGATGGGATACCGCCAGATGGAGCTTACAGTCACCGCCTGGAGGGATAACTGGATTCAAGCGTACCAGTGGGAAACAAACGGACTTGCGACGCACGACAGCTTCTGGATCAACAACAGGAGCCGTGCCGTACCCCTGTTCGTAAGGAATGCAAGGCGTACCGTATCACAGAAGCACTATTCACAGAGAACCAACGTAAGGCGTACCACAGAGAGCACTGCAATGTGGAGGGCACAGTCGGGATGGCGCATGATGAATGCAATGGCTGCTGATAGGTCCTGGCGCAGGCCTGGTAGGGGGTGAGTGAGAGAGCGTGGCGTATGGCAAGGCAACACAACACGATGACAGAACAGCACAACAAGATGCACAGCATGATTAATGTGATGGCCGCTGCTAGGTCCTGGCGCAGGCCTGGTGGGGGCGAGAGAGGCAGAGCGGTGAGCAGGAGGGTGAGACATATGACGATACAGCATGAACGCAGAACAGAATAATACGATGACATTTGAAAGAACGAATGATGAATGCAATGGCGCTGCTAAGTCCTGGTGCGGGACAGGTGGGTATGCAATGCAAGGCTATAAAAAAATGGTGACACTAAATTGAAGCATGATGTCAGAACAGCAAAACTCGGTGTCACGAGCCCTGACAGTGATAAACGCTGCATCTGGGTCAGAAAGCAGGTGCTTACCCAGCAGGCTGATGACGGAGGAGCAGAGTGTGATGTAGAGCACCTGGTTGGCGGCCGGCATGTCATAGCCCTCAAACAGCTTGTCCTGAAACGTGTTGGTGAACCCGTCAAAGCTGGGGAGCGGGTGGTCGGACGAGGATGAGGGGACAGGTGGAGAGGGACGAGGAGCGAGGGAGAGGGGTTGGCATGTCATAGCCCTCAAACAGCTTGTCTTGAAACGTGTTCGTGAAGCCGTCAAAGCTAGGGGAAAGCGGGAGAAGGGTGAGGTCCGTGAGTGAGGATGAGGGGACACACAGAAAGCCAGCGGATAGGAAAGGGGAGACGTGCTCATGATGTCTAGGAGAGAGAGAGGAGCGAGGGACGCTATAACCTTCTACATGCTTGTCTTGAAATGTGTTGGTTACCTAGCTCTTGGCAGCATTGGCAAGGCAAAAAACGATGCATGGGAGGAAACGAAGGGGGCGGAGAGGGAGATGGAGGGGGGAACGAGTAAGCGGCAGCAAAGGAGAAAGAGGTATCCCACACATGCTGTGCCCCCTGCTATCCCAGTCATGCTCTGCCTTACCCCAGGTATACCATGCGCGCTCTGCCCTACCCCAGCTCTCCCACGCACTGCGGCAGTCACCCAGCCATGCACCGCCCCAGATATCTCATCCCAGCCATGCACCGCCCCAGATATCTCATCCCAGCCATGCACCGCCCCAGATATCTCATCCCAGCCATGCACCGCCCCAGATATCTCATCCCAGCCATGCACCGCCCCAGATATCTCATCCCAGCCATGCACCGCCTTGCCCCAGACACCCCACGCATGCACCGCCTTACCCTAGGTATCCGAGCATGAGCATGAGGCCAGAGAACGTGCTCTTGACACTCGTGCGCGCAGTCTTGACACCTTGACCCGGGGCATGGGCCGTGGCAGGAATGGAGATGAGACGAGTCACGCGTGTGTACAGGTGCCGTATGGGAGATGAGAAGTGGGAGGTGGTGGAGAAGGGGGAAGAAAAGGGGGAGGATGCGGCAGATAGGGTGTGTAGAGACGAAGGGAGGGAGGGAGGGAGAGAGGGAGGGAGGGAGGGCAGGGAAACGGAAGGGAAAGGAAGAAGGAAGGAAGGGTCACACGCTGAGGAGGGTTGCATGCAATTCTCTTGACTGCCAAAGTGGACCCCGAGAACAAGCAAGCAAGGAAGAGTCAACACTAACTTATTCAGGTCACATATTTGAAGGGACAGTGGAAAGAGTCTGGACCTGGGAGGAGTGAGTGGTGAAGGAAGTGAATGTGGCAACAAACAAGGATGGACAGATAATAAACACACACACGCACGCACGCACGCACGCACGCGCGCGCACACACACACACACACACACACACACACACACAAACACACACACACACACACAAGGGAGCGGAGACACACCACGTTGAGGAAGAAGAGGCAGGAGCCGAGGATGATGGTGATGGCGATGATGTACTCCCTGGGCTTGTACTGCTTGCGCGATATGATCGTGCCCCAGATCTGCAGCAGCATGGTTAGCATGGTTGCAGTAGCATGGTACAGGAGAGTACAGGAGAGAGTGTTTTAGGGTGATGGTGATGGCGATGAGGTACTCTCTGGGCTTGTACTGCTTGCACGATATCAACGTGCCCCAGTTTTGCAAAAGCAGCAGCACGGTTGCATCAGCATGGTTGCAGCAGCATGGTACACGAGAGTAATGTTTAGGGCGGTGTGGCATGGGGTGACGTGGTGGCATGGTGTGGTGGCGGTGCAGCATGAGGTGGTGCTGGAGACATGTTCGGTCAGTTCACAGGGCTTACCAGCACAGGCACCATGCGGGATGACTTGGCGATGGTCTGCAGAGGGAAGCTCACGTACTTGAGGGCCTTTTGTGGGGTTGGGAGGAACAGGGTGGGATTGGGAGGATTGGGGTGGGGTTGGGAGGATTAAGGTGGGGTTAAGATGGGTTTGGGGTGAGTGTCCAAGAAGGGTGTGTGGGTGGGAGGGAAGACAGGGACAATGTTGGCGAAACTCTCAATCAAAGGGGAAGGGGAAAAAGGTGAATGACGTTTATATTGCATGCGCAACACAACAACCACATTCAACTTTTGAGTCGACTCAAATTTCAGCGATCAATGCAGCAGCGTACCTCGTATTGGCACCCGGAGGAAATGGCATTGGAGAGTGACACAGCGCCATTTGAGGCGCCTCAAAAGCCAAAACAGCGATCATTGCAGTGCAGTGAGTGTGCGTGGTGCGTTGCGTACCTCATATTGGAGGAGATGACATTGGAGAGGGACACAGCGCCAGCCAGCCATTTGAGGCGCCTCAAAAGCCAATACAGCAACCATTGCAGCGTGCTGCGTGCGTGCTGCATACCTCGTATTGGCACCCGGACGAGATGACATTGGAGAGGGACACAGCACCATAGGCGTAAATTGGAGCCACTAGAGCCAACGACGCTCCTGTCACCTGCATGTGTATGGTTTGGGATGGAACACGATGTGGGGTTTGTGCGCTGTGTGCGATGTACTGTATATTTACCGAACGGGACTGTGCAGTGGATGATTATGATGGATGTCGCACACGGTACACTCATGAGCTGAATAATGTACGCTGTACAGTGTCTAGTTTGTCCTGTAAGTTGGTAGGTGGGTTCATCATAGCACTGCGCTGAGCACTGACATGAGTCGGCTGCATTGCAGAGCAGGATGGAAATTAAGATGCTAGAGTATGATGAGTCGAATCAAAGGGCATCGGCTCCCCAGGTGCACAATGACCGCCACAGCGCACGTCATGAGGCGGTTACATAGCACGATGAAGAGTAAGAGTAAGATGCTGGAGTAGAGGAGACTCAAAGGCTCTGACTGACTCACCAGGTGCACGATGACTGCGACAGCGCACGTCATGAGGCGGTTACAGAGCACGATGAAGAGTGAATGCTGGAAGTACTCTGAGTCCTCGTCCCTGTCACCGTACGGAAACTTCATTATCCGCTCCTGCGTTACAAGCACGTAGCAGGTTCAAACCACCGATCTAAGCAACAAAATTAAGTCGGCACAGCAGGAATTCAGAACGACTACAGGAGTCGGAGTTGGAAAGGGTGGACACACAGCCCACAACACAAATGACGCGCCAAGGCTGATGGGAGAAAATTCGTCGTAAGGAGTCGAAACTCAAAGGTACGCAAAAGCCGGCCCTTGACACAGCGACACATCCCTGCAAGGTCGCCTTACCGAACTTTGAAGCACGTATGGGCCATCAGTGTCGCAGCGACGCACCTGGCCAATGCCGTAGATGATGAGCGTGCCCACCACGCCGATGAAGCACCATATCAGCTTCGCCAGGTCGCCTTTCGCCGCAGCTTTCCTCCGGTTCATCGAGCTCGACCTACAATAAAAAGAAGAAGGGAATGCGACCTGGCGAAGCTGGTTAGGCAATGCGACCTAATCAGAAGCTTTCCTCCTGTTCTAGTCGTTTTTTTTTAACGCGATGGGAAGACTGCACCTTGAAGCGTCAGCAAACACTCGAATTGACGTTACTAGACCAGATTGCAAACAGCAGGTGATGACACAAGAGACGAAGCTACGTGGCCACGCGGAGTGGCGTGCGGTCATATGACGGAGATCCCGATGACGAATAAAATGGCGTGAGGACCTATACGAGCAACAGGGTGTGCATTAAAGACCATATTCACCTGCCATAGTCGAGCGTTCTAGAATGCGGTGCTGTCTCCTGCGTCGAAGCTGCCATGATGACGCTACAGGTCCTAGCAGGACCCCACTAAGGCCGATGGTATGTGATGTGACATCAGCAAGATTCGAAATATGGGCCAGCAGTACGATAGTACGGTTGCTATTGAACGAGCTATCCTGGCAATTCGCCTTCGAGGTGCTACACGCGAGAAATTTGCCGTGAAAAGTTTTCGCCTGGTTGGTTCCTAACACGAATTCTGCTGGTTCTAGGAACGAGGTATTTAGTTGTTAGCAGCAGTTAGGTTGGTTGGGAAGGACTACACTTAGGAGTGAAAACGAAATGCATTCGAAGTACTTCGAAATTGTTCTACCTGCTTTTATCTGTTCTCAATGGCCCAATCTGGTTACCGACGGTACAGCACATCGAGATTTGTGATCTGAGATTGGGATTGCCGTGGCGAGCGGCTCAGTTATTGGCTGTGTCGTGGATCTGCGAAGAATGCGTGCGATCTTTTTGGACTCGATGGAGGTTCTCAGAGAAACGAGAGTGGGGGGGGGGGGGAGGGCGGGGGTCATCAACAGATGCGGGTCCCCATTGAGCGGTTACATCGGAGTGACCAATTTCGGTCCGGAACTACTGTAATGATTTTCTAACTCGACTGCACTACAACTTCCATGCGCAAATGGGCAGGGTTCATCCGAGTGTCGAACGAGTCCTCATTGGAACGCAGCCTCACTGTCAAGGACGAAGGCCCGACCGTGCAAGAACCCAAACGAGTAGGTTGGTGCGGCTTGGCTCGGGAGGAACAAAACGGGATCGAGCTCATCGAATGTCGGCGGAGAGAGGGAGGCCATGACAGGGGCAGGGAAGGAAAGGGCTGCTCCCTGCGGAGCGTCCCTCCTGAGTGAGTGAACCGGCAAAAAGGCTTGTGAGCAGAAGAAGCGCAGTGGATGCGGGCGGGGGAACCAGGAAAAAGGCTTGTGATGGGGGAGGGATACTTGGGCGAGGGGGAAAAGGAAGGCGGGAAAGGCTGACTGGGGGAGGTGGTTCTGGGGAGGTGGCGCAGTTTGAGAGAATGCACTAACATATAATGTATTACAGCACCTGATGCATTTTGAGGAGTCTCTACGTTGTCAAACTTATAGCTAGGCACATGGCTGAGACCACCTTTATTGACAATATAAGTACAAAGGTACATGGGTTAAGGGTTAAGATCCTACCTAAGAACACAAAGAAAACAGCAATGGTAGTCCCACTTCTAAATGATTCAGAAATCGTTCCCCAGGTACGCAAATTCCGCCGCCGACGGGGGGGTAACCTCCAAAGTGCCAATGCTGGAACCAACCGTGAACCAAACCTGCGCCCGCCTGCAGATCGTGCAGGCCTGCTCGCGCTGATGGACGGGGGAGATGCGCTTCTAGAAGCTAGTTTCGAACAGCTGCGGAAGGAGGTCGGAGAAGCCACTCATGTCACATTGGCGCATGCTCCATGGCGGCTGCAATCTCTGAGGAAATCCTGGAATGATTTCCCGAGGCACCCAAAGGTCTCAAGAGCCAACGGAAGGAATTTGACGCCGGGTCGAGACCAACAAGAGCATCCTAAGGGCACTATTTGATATTGCAGGCCTATTGAATTGGGCATAAACGCTTTGACAAGGGAGGGAAAAGCGCCACAAACTTTTCAGCATCCAATGTTGTAGGCCCTTCCGAAACCCCAACAAAAGCATATTCTGGCGCTCAATGGACAAGGAATAATGTGCAATAGGCTGAAAATATGCAGTCACATTTTTTAATCTCCTGCCATACCCCATACTATGCCTATCAGATGTGCATGCACCTCTAACTAAAACAAAGCACTTATATCCACCCCGTGATGATAAGCGAACTGAAAAACTAGGGGTGTTTGTTCTAGTACATGTGTTGGCATTTCTTTACATTCTTAACAAACATCATGTATCCAATTCGTCGTACATCGTTACAAGTTCCTTTTTGTGCCCCATTCACTCTCACGCGATTGACTTGCTCGCGCCATATCATCGAGGAGAGCCACTTTACAATAGTCATGAGCTAGACTAGGGTGTTGGCATGAACTCTAGAAGTGATCGTAGCTTTGCTCAGTTCCTTAGCACTTGTGCATTAACGGGAGCAATTGGCAAGAATTTCCACTAGGCAAAGATTGCGTTCCAGAATGATGGCAACAATAACTACATCAGCCACCTAGCAATCCTGCAGCTAGCCTGATCGCCCGCCAGCACGACATGGTCGACCGCTTGCCAGCGTTGCATAGAGAAGACGTGCCAGCATGCCAGAAAGGTGACCTGCCAACAAAGCAAGTCGACGGCGTGCCAACGCTGCAGCAAAGCGGCTGTCCAGTGTTGCACCTGTAGATGGCAGCAGTGCGCACGTTCGCAGGTGCACGCATACGATTGGCCCTGTCATCAACTGTGCAGAAATGAATGAACCATGAATGAGTTGGGTACAAGTACTAACCCTAAAGTGTGGTACCCCTGTAGTCTAACCCACTATAGCCCAGAGAGAACACAAACATATAGCTTGACACACCCCCATAGGCTAAGTGGGAGAGACCAAATACAACAGACGGTCACAAGACTAGTCAAGCAAGAGAACAAGCAAAGCAAAGCTCATGGTGGATCTCAAGGACATCACACAATCTGAGTACAAGCAAGCGGCCACAAGGCCAATTCACATGCAGAGTTATAATAGCAAGGCAGTACACAGATCACAACCTAGCAAGAGTATGTCAGAATGAGGAATGATTGAACTAGGAAAATGTTGGATACAAATATGAAACCCTAGAAACCTCTACCCCTTAGTGACTACCCCACTAGAGCCTACAAAGACTAAGTCATATATATCTGACACACCCCCATAGGCAAAGTGGGGGAGAACTAGGGGTCACAAGACTAGTCAAGCAAAGCAAGCTCAGGGTGGATCACAACGTCACCACACATTCCGAGCACCGGTTCAAAGGCCATAAGACCAGTTCACATGCAAGATCATATATATAAAGGTAAACAAGCAAGAGCAGGTATGTATAGATCACAGTACAAGGAAGGTCAAGAAGTAAGCAAGTGAGGCCAAGTAGGCATAAGACCTAGCATCGTACAAAAGCGCTGATACTCACAAGGCTGAAGTGCCTTGGTAAAGATATCAACAGTGTTCGCCTGAGAGGCCACGTAAGCAAGGCGCAGCTGACCACGCTGCTGCAGCTCACGAGCAAGGAAGTAGCAAAGAGCAATGTGCTTCGTTCTGTGCTCCAGTCTGTGCTCCCGACACAAGGCCAGCATGGCCTTGTTGTCTACGTACAGAACTAGAGGAGAACGAGGCGGCTCTCCCAGGTCGGTCAGCAGGTAGGTGAGCCAGCGTAACTCCTGTACAGCCATGGCCCCTGCGTAGATCTCGACCTCACAGCTGGAGCCGAGAACAGAAGACGAGCGGGTAGACCGCCACGAAACAGAGCCGGAACCAAGACTGAAGGTGTAACCCTGTGACGACCGCTGCGTAGCCAAGTCGTCAGCCCAAGAAGCGTCTGCGTGACCAGTCAGGACCACTGAACTCCGCCCTCCAAGCACGAGCCCCATGCCCAACGTACTGCACAAGTAGCGCAACACCCTCTTCGCAGCAGCCATGTGCTCTGGTCGGTGTCTCCCAGGAGCAACATAGCGTGTTAAGATGCTAAGAGGGTATGCTAGGTCAGAAAGAGTGCAGGTCATCAGGTACATGAGGCAGCCAACAAGCTCTGGGTACGGGCCACTCGGCTCTACGGACTCATCCGAAGGCAGAGCTGAGAGCGAGTGGCGACTAGACAGAGGAGTGGCCTGAGGCGAGGAGTACGTGAAGTCGAAGCGCTGAAGGACCTGCTGCACCATGTGTGACTGAGTCAGGGTAATGGTGCGCCGTGCTCTGTCCCGGGTGATCTGCAAGCCAAGATAGCTGCGCAGTTCACCCAAGTCTGTGCACGTGTGTCTCTTCTGCAGCTCGGACTTCACGTGGGCGAGTCCAGCAGTGTCAGCAGTAGCAAAGACCAAGTCGTCGACGTACACGAGGATGTAGAACGGCGGCAGCGAGGTGTCGGTGCGTAGAAACAGCGACGGGTCAGCAGTAGAAGGAGCAAACCCAAGAGCCGCTAGCGTAGTCCTCAGTGTGTCGTGCCACTCGCGGGGAGCCTGGCGGAGACCGTAGACTGGCCGCCGGAGGCTCCACTGGGTACCAGGAGGAAACGACCCAGTGAAGCCAGGAGGGCGGCGCAGCCAAATCTCCTCGTGCAGGCCGCCCTGTAGGAAAGCAGTGCTGAAGTCAAGAGAGTGAAGCTCGTAGTCGCGCTGAGCGGCTATGTGCAGCAGCACCCGAAGAGTGGTCATCTTCGGGGTGGGGGAGAAGGTCTAAAAGTAGTCAACTCCCTGCCGCTGACTGAAGCCTCGAGCCACGTAACGTGCCTTGAAGACAGGCGGAGAACCCGGCGGCCGCTTCACCCTGAAAATCCACATGCCACTGACGATGTTCGCCCCAGGTGGGGGGACCTCGTCAACATAGGTGCCTGTGGACTTCCACGAAGCCATTTCTGCGTCCATGGCTGACTGCCACTGAGAGGAGTAGGGACCCTCTATCGCCTCTGCGTAAGAGCGCGGAGTCGGGATGTCTGGTGCATCCGGGTCTCCCTCATG